GCCAGGGGGCAGGGGGGGAGTGCGGGGTGCCGCATCCAGCTCCCTGAGCAGGCCCTGGGGGCAGAGCCGTGTGCAGGTTCTGAAGTGACCCCAGCCTGTGGCTGAGGGGTGACACGGGCCATGGGCTTCTTGGAGGCTGTGTTGACCCACAGTAGGCCGGAGTGCTTGGCCTCAGGCCCCCTGAGCTTGGTCTCTGTCCTTGCGTGAGGGAGCTGCCTCCCTGGCTGCTGGTGGTCCCCGGCCCCCTCCCTCCCTCCCCTCCCCTCCCCTGCCCCTCCTGATGTACACAGGCTGAGGAGGAATGCTAATTTTAGACTCCCCTAATGAAGCTGCTCATTCGCAATTCTATTTTAAGTGACCTGACATCAGCAGAGCAGCCTTCCTGGCCCTCAGCTCCTCTGGAGCCCACGGCTGGCACCACGGCAGGGGTGCTGCGTTTGGGCAACCCCCAGTAGCCCAGGGGGGCTGCTGACAGGCCCAGGGAGTGGGCACCAAGCTTCGAGAAGGGCAGGTGGCTCAGCCATGGGGGAAGGGGAGGGGTTTGGCCACTGGATGCCAGCAGGAGCATGACTAACATCCAGGTAGCAGTCGATGGAGGGAGCAGAGGGTGGGCCTGCCCCCAGGACCCTGGTCACTGGGAGAGCTGGGGAGCTAGTGGGTGAGGATTTGGGTTGGGTCCCGGCAGGGGCACCCCTGTTCCCTTGGTTCCCACACCTGGCTGGCAAGAGGCCTGTCTGGGGGGCACCCTCTGCTGTGCCAGCCTCACACAGGCACATCTTCATCTCTTTGAGGGACAGCCCTCAGACCCCCACCCTTTTTAAAAATCTAGTTTACTGCAGAAAAATTAGAACATAGGTGAAAAGGGTAGAAACGAGGAATCTGCTCCTCTGGCCACCACCTGAAGACACTCATCAGCAGCCTTCAAGGGCATGTGGCATTTTGGGGTCTGGCCTGGGATTTGCCCTGTGGCTGCCATCCACCAATCTCAGCACCTCTGTGCCATCTTGCCCAGTGCTGGCAGCTGGTGGTCACAGCATGTCTGTCTGGGTCACCAGCCGGCCAGCCTGTCACATGGCCAAAGGGCAGTGACCTCACATCTGCTCCCCAGGCCTTGGGGACTGGTTGCTGGGAGGTATTGACTGACTGCAGCCCCTCCCCGTCAAGTCGGTGAGGGGTGTGGGTGTGGGGTGGGGCAGTGCTGACCTCCCTCCTGCAGCCCCAGGGTGGGTATGGATCTGGGCCCTGACCAGTTTCACATGAACAGGGCACAGACTGTGCCCTGGCAATCCCAGCCCTGCTGCTGACCATCTGTCGGCCTTTGGATCCAGGACTGCCCTCCACCACCTGTAAAATGGGTACAGTGACACTTTTTTCATAGGGTTTTAAAGAGGTGCTATCCCTGAGGGATGTGGGAAAGGGGGGGTGTCGGTGGTGTCTGAGGGCATCAGGGGTGCCGCCTGGAGGACTCAGGGTTAAGGCGCAGCAAGCAGTTAAGGCTTATTTGCAGATGGTTGTGGGAGGGCCAGCCTGGGTCAGTAGAGCGTGGGGTGACGCGGGGTGACACTCGGTGTAGCGGTTACCCAGGGCTGCGTAACAGGCTACCTCAGACTTCACAGATACCCAGTCAGGGGTCTGGGGCACCCCATCCCGGTGATCCTGGCCCGGCATCTCTGGGAGGCTGTGGTGCAGCCAAGCTTTTGGCAGGGGCTGTGAGCTCATCTGAAGGCTCGAGGAGGCTGGAGGAGCGGCTGCCAAGATGGGCCTCTTGTGGCTGTTGGCGGGGGGCCTCCACTCCCTGGAACATGGGATTCTCCAGGGGCTGATTGACCTGCCCTGTGACCTGGCAGCTGGCCTCCGGGGGTCGCACGATGGCTTCTGCCGTATTTTATCATTATAAGAGAGTTGGTAAGACCAGCCCACGCTGTGGAGAAGAGAACTTGTCTCCATCTCTTGAAGGGATGAGTGACAGACCGTGGACATATTTTTAAGCCACTGAAGTCAAATACACCGTAGCTCTGTGTGTGTGCACGTGTTCACGTCTTTGGGTCTCGCCTCGGACTGGGCAGGTGGTGTGCTGGGTGGGAAGAATGCTGTATCCGGGCCCACAGCATGGGACTCGAGTCCCAGACCTGCTGGGGTCCTGCATTGTGGTCCTGCATGACCTTGACTAGTTTGGAAGAGCTCCTGGCCTCAGTTTTCCTGCACTCTTCAGGCCTGGGCAGGGTCCCCATGGGGCAGGGCTCCATCTTGTATTACTCAGCATCTCTATATGCTATTATCCAGCACCCCCCCCCCCAAAAAAAAAACGACCCACGGGGTGCAGGTGCTGAGTAGGACCCAAGAACTTCTGGACCACCAGAATCGGCTCCTGTGTGTGGGGTCACATCCTCAGGTGTCCTTTGTGTCAGCCTTCACCAGCTGCCGGCTTGGGAACATGGAGCTGGCCCTCTGCCCGAGGCTTACGGGCCGGGCTGTGCTGTCCCCGGGCCTGAGGAGGCCTCTCTGGAAGGTCCTGGGGGTACCCAGGTAGCACATAGATGCGTAGATGTCTGATGCCACATCACCTCTCCCCTTGAAGTTCTGGTTGTCCAGGTGGGGCAGTGGCACAAATGCAGACTTCAGTCCCAGTGTGCTGAGGCTGACCTAGGTTGCCCGTCTGCACCTGAGTCTCTGCCCCCTTTCCTGTCAGCCGGCACACCATGTACCTGCCCCAGGTGTGCACTAGGCATGCTCTCACATAAATTAGCTTCTTGAATTCTCATCGGATCAGCCTCGTGAGGTAGACTCCTCATCCCCGCTTGACAGATGAGACTGTGACCCAGAGAGGCAAAGTAACCGCCTCAGGTCACACAGTAGAGGCTACAGGGTGGGATTTAAATAAACCCTGGGTGCCCGGCAGCCAAGTCAGGGCTAAGCTCACCTTCCAGGCCCCGCTTCCTCCTTGCTTGGTGACCTCGGCCACACCTGCCCTCTGTCCACAGTGCCCCCTGAAGGAGCAGAGGGTGCTGATGACGGCCTGGGGTAGAGCTTCCGGAGCATGGTGTCCTCAGCAGTTCTCTGGGGCTGGCCGCGTGTTGGGTGGGCTGTAAAAGATTCTCGTCAAAGATGTGCGTTTTCTGGCATCTGGCTGCTGGGACAGACCCCTTGCCCACCGGGGTTCTCCAATTTGTTTCTCTGCCGGGCCTGCAGTAGCTGTGGACATGTGGGTTGCCCCCTGACTCGCTGGACCAGCTGCCTGGGCCCTCACCCTGGGACGGCTGCTACAGGGCACTTCTGCCGGCTGTGGCGGCCGCCTGTGTGACCTCGCCAGGTGGGAGGCCAGCCTGCCGGCCCCGGGCTTTGTGGGGTCCTTTGTTCCTGAAGTACGAGGCCTCACCTGGGAGAATGGTGTTCCTCGGACACTGTGTTCTTGCACCTGCCCTGCAGGACAGCGACGGCGGCCAGCCGGGCCGTCTGGGACTCGGGGTTTCAGATGTGCGCTCAGGGCCTGCGGCCCCCCCTAACTGGTTCTGGGGCGGCGCTTGGGGCCGGCGCCTGCCTGGCCCCTGTGGGATCCATGGCTCCCTGGCCGGGTCTGAGCCTGCCAGCCCTGGGGACAGGTGTGGAGCAGGCTCTAGTTAGACTCGCGTGAACCCCGTGCTGAGCCCTGCAGCTGGTAGGTGGTGCTGGGAGCTGCCTAGAGGCCCTTGGGGTGGGGGCCACAACCTGGGGGTGCGGAAACACGTGTATCCTGGCCCCTTTCCCTGGATGGTGTGCGATTGTGTGTCTGCCCGTGACTGCCAGGGACCCTTCCCCAAAGACTCCGTGGCGCTCCCTGGAGCCCGCTCCCCCCAGGTCTGTGTGTGGGAGGTCATTCACCCCTTTGTCCAGCCCGTGGCCCTGCCAGCTTCTGCCTTCGTTTACTCCCTGGAACGCATGTGGGAGCGGGGACTGCGCCTGGGCAGGTGGCCCCGAGAGGGCAGGGAATGTTAATGGAAAACTTATTTATGGCACTGCTCACCCGCCTGCTGGCCTCAGAGCCGGGCCTGTATTGATCGGGCACGTGGGAGATGGTCCAGCCTCCTCACTGACACTTGGCTGGGACTTGAAAGGCTGGGGCATGTACCCCAGGGTTTCTGGTGTTACCCCCAGCAGGCAGTGGCTCCCGGGCCGTCTCGGCCTTAGTCTGGCCCTCAGCGGAAGGGGGGCTCCCGTGACGGCAGTTCAAGTCTGAGCTTCGTGCTTCTTCAGGTGCTGCAGACAGGCATGCGCCTGGGGCTGGGTGCTATTCGCAGCCCCCCTCATCTGCTCACCTGTTCTCCAAGGTGCCTTCGCAGGTGGGGACCTGCCCATGGGGGTCCCTGGTGCCCTGGGATTCAGGAGGGAGTGGTTGCAAGTAAGGGCTCCGGGCCTGTGCTGCCCCCCCTTGTTAAAAGCTTTGGTTTCCGTCCCTCTGCGTGGTGCTGGTAACCTGCCGGTGGAGGGTGGTGGAGGCCGGGCAGACCCCTGCTTGTGAGCCGCGGGCAGCTGTGCCGTCCTCATTGCCGTCATCTGGGCCTTTCCCTTCCGTGGGCATCTGCTCTGTGATGTGAGGGCGCTGGCCCTGGGCCGCAGGCACCACCCCCAGGCCTACTAGGGTTGCTTTTGGGTCTCCCCAGCTTTCTGGAGAGGTCGTAGGAGCCTGGTGGGCTGTGCCCTTTGCATTGGTGGAGTCAGTGAGGGCCTGGGCATGCCCGGTTCTTGAATTATGGCTTGGCTCCGAGAGGTTGGGGGTGCCGTGCCCGCCCTGGACCCTCAGGGGCGCCGGCTGGGCGCTGGGGCTGCAGCCCCGTTCTCTCTACAGTGCTGGCTCTGCTCTGCCTGTCTTGCAGGAGCCACCTGGGCCTGCTCCCGCCCTGCTCCCTGCATGCTGCCCGCTGGCGTGGGCCCTGGGCCCACGCCCCCGCTCACCCTGCTCACCCCGCTCTGGTGCTGGGCCTTCCTGCTCTCTGGGTGACCTGGTTCTTCTTTTCCTATTTCAGGCATGAGCCATGAGCCCAAGTCCCCTTCACTAGGGATGCTTTCCACCGCGACCAGGACCACCGCCACCGTCAACCCCCTCACCCCCTCGCCGCTCAATGGCGCCCTGGTGCCCAGTGGCAGCCCCGCTACCAGCAGTGCGCTGTCGGCCCAGGCCGCGCCGTCCGCCAGCTTTGCCGCGGCACTGCGCAAGCTCGCCAAACAGGCGGAGGAGCCCAGAGGTAAGAGGCATGCCCGCCAGGCTGCGGGCCCAGGGGGGAGAGACGCCCCCTTCCTCCCGCCCAGGCCCCTGGGCTCCCTAGAGGAGCAGGTGTGGCGGTGCAGGAAGCGGCCGGCCTTCGCGAGCACGGACGCGTGTACCGGCCACTGCAGGCCTCCCGGACCCCCGTCTGCCCCGTGAGCCCACGCGCCCCGGCACCTCTGCTTGGCTTCTGCTTCCCACTTTCTCCCTGCCCCTGTCCCTCCTTGGCTCCAGGAGCCCTCATGGGGGCATCCAGCAGTGTGCTCAGGGCCTGTGGCCGAGGAAGATGGGTGTGCTGGGCTGTGGGAGCCCCAAGCGGCCTTGGAGGGGGGCTCCGGGCCCTGACACCTGTGCCCAGGGCCCAGGCTGATTCCCCTCCAGACAAGGCAGGAACGTGGGCTCTGGACACCCGCTCGGTCTCCGAGCAGAGGACTTTGGGACCTCACGCCACTATTGCTTAACTTCCTGAGCAGGGATGGTACGGTAGTGTGGACAGGTGTCTCCCAGACATTCGGGGCCTTCACTCTTGGTGTCACTCAGGCAGTGGCATGCTGTGTGTCTGTGGACTCATGCTGGCCCTCTCTGAGCGTCAGTCTTCCTATTTGTACCACGGGGTTCTCAGTGCCTCTGGCTGCCAGTACTTCTGGGATAAGGATCCAGCTGCGGGGCCTGGTCATGGGCTGCTGGCTGAATGACGGTGTGGGAGGCAGTTTGCAGCTGGAGGTGCCAGCTGACCCGGCCATGTGGGTTTGGAGCAGGCCTCAGACGCCCTCCAGACCTGCTGCTCAGAGACAGGGCCCGATACCTCTAGGACAGAGAAAGTGGGTATACTGGGTGCCTTGGCCTGCCATCTGCCTCACCCCCATAGGTCCAAGTTGGCCCTGGGGGCACAGGAGGAATGGTCTGCCTTTATAGGCCCCACAGCCTCCTCAGCAGAACGGATGTTTAACCTTGACCAGCTGGATGGCGGGTAGGGGGGTTGTCTTCTGATTTCTGAATCTTGTGTTTTCATTTCTGCTGCCTGGTTATTGGACAAAGAACACAGTGTGATGGGGGGTGAGCTCAGTTGATGGCAGGGTGGATGTCAGCCTGGGAAGGAACACTGGTTTTGAGTTGTCGTGCTGTGGGCAGCTCTGTCTACCCAGGCAGAGCATGGCTGCTGGCAGACCCTCCACGCCCCTGCATGCATGCCCCTCCTCGTCCTCTCTCATCACCCTGGCCACGTCTGAGCAGGTCAGGCTGCAGAAGCCCCACCGGTGTCGGGAGGCCCTCGGAGCCACACAGATGGAGAGCAGACGGCCAGAGGAGGCAGCTGGCTGGGCTCCCTGCCCAGGCCACCGAGGCCCCCAGACCAGACACCCTGGGCTCCCTGCAGGGCGCCCTGGAAGGCATGCCCTCAGCGGGAACCTGAGCTGCAGTTGAGCTGCTCCAGCTGTCTGCTCTTCAGCGTTCCAGAAGGTGGGCAGGGCTGGTGCCGCTTTCAGAGATGCCACTCTCATCCAGCAGCTTTGTCCACTGGCCCACTAGAGTGGTACCCCACATGTGCAGAGGATGTGGCAGTAAAAGGGCACCTTGCCCTCCTTCTGATGCCGTGGGTAGTGGTGGAGTGATCTGCAGGGGCCGGCTCACACAGGGATTGTGGGCACAGAACTCTGCTCTCTGCTGCCCCAGGCATCTGGTTTGAACGAAGGGCCCGTGGGCAGTTGGTGTACCAGGGGCTGCCGTGCTTCGCTGGCCAGGAACAGCGTGTGCTGCTGGCGGGGGCCAGGCCTGGGGGCCACAGGCCCTACTCCCCCAGCCGTGAACTGGGCGTTCTGCATGACACTTGGGGACTTTGTGTCAGAGAGGCAGGAGAGGGGCCTGGCCCAAGCTCTTACTACTGGCTGACCTGAGGCTACCCCCGTCATTCAGGTGCGGGAGGCGAGGTTTGGGGGTCCCAGCACACGTGAACTGTGGAGCAGTGTTTGAGCCCTCGGGTGCTGTGGCACTGTTCGCCGTGTGTGTGCCTGGGCCCTGGGCACATTGTGTCTTGAGAACTAAGGGCTTGCTGGTGGCCACAGGCAAAGTCTGAGGGTCTGAAGCCATGGCCGTTGGCCTTGGTTTGAAGAAGTGAGGTGCTGTCGCTCTCTGGTGTGTCCTCTGGGCTGTACCCCACGCCTGATCCTCATTTTCCTCTTCAAGTCGCCCTGGGTCTGAGCTTGCCGTCTCCCCGAGTTGGCAGATGGAGAAGCCAAGGCACAGAGAGACAGAGCTGTGTGGATGTGCCCTGTGGCCCTGCTGCTGCTCAGGCCTCTCCGAGTGGGCTCAGAGAGCCGGGGGCAGGACAGCAAGCTGTGTGCGTGGTCCCCATGTGGATGGCAGAGGAAGACCCCTCAGCACCGCATGCAGTGGTGCAGGGGACACCCGGGGTCGCTGCCTCCCAGGGTGGGTGTGGGGAGGTGAGGGCTGTCAGCTGTCAGGCAGGGGCACCTCGGGAGGGCCAGCAGGCCTCAGCTGCTCTGCTCCACTTCCCATCCAGACCCAGAGGAAGATGGGGTGAAGAGTCCCCGCATCCCACAAGTACTAGTATCTCAGTATCTGGGGGCTGAGGTGACCCAGGACCCCGTGGCTACCACCCCACCCCCATTCTATAGTCTCCGCCCCCGCAGAGAGGCCCCAGGTGGAGCCCGAGAGGCCTCCAGACCGGCACTGGGACTGCAGCCCCCAGCGAGCGGCTGCAGAGGGTCACCTTTGACCCTCTCCACCTGCCCCCCTCCCGCCTGTGTATGGGTCGTCTTGCTCTGAGCTCCAGCCCCGCTCTCTGCACCTGCTACTATCTTTGCTTCCATCCTGTCTCTCTCGAGGGTACAGCTTAAAAGTTCAATTGACAGAAAGTGACCTACGTGTCGAATCGTTTTGCTCCACCCCAGGAAGGATGGGAAGAGAAACTAGCCCTGGGTGGGGAGCTTCCTCCTTCCTGGGGCTCTGAGAGGAGCTTTTCACTTGGTGCCAGCCCACCCTGGGGTCCCGGAGGGGACAGTGTGCGGCAGGGGGCCCGGACCTGTTCAGCTCCGCCCATTCTGGGATGGCACTCAGAGAGGGGGCCCCGGTTCACGCCCTTGCTCTGTAACCTGGGCATGTACTTCTCTAAGCTTCCATCCTTGCTCAGGGGGTCGATGTCCCCCTCCCAGACTCCCACAATTCAGCGGGAACGCACTAGCTCCAGGCCACAGCAGGCCGCCCCCACCATCACCCCCCACCCACCCACCTCCCCCGCAGTGCACTCGGGCTTGAGGGGCCTGGAAAGGAGAGCCATCCTGTGGTGGAGGGTGGGCTGGGAGCTCCTGGGCTGGCCAGCTGGGCCTGGCTTTGGGGGAGAACCCCTGCCAGTCTGGCCTGCGGTGTGGGGCACGCCAGGCCCAGGGTGCCACTCTCCGACAGCAAGTCCCTGGTCTTCGCTGCTTGGGAGGACGGGGACCCGGGGGGTGACCGAGCCCAGGCATCACATGCTGGAAGGAGCCTGGGCTACAGGTTTGGGTCTGACCCCTTGTCAGTCCCAGTTACACCCATGGGCCCTTTCTCACTGCCAGGCTTGGGCCCACCCCCTTCCGTGTTACTCTGGCCGCCAAAGGATGTCACCCTGGGCCGCCTGGGCCCCCTTCTCTTTGGAAAGCTAGTAGGCCAGCTCCCCCTCGCTGCTGGTCTCCCAGTGGGACCTCCTTTGGATGCAGACCTTCTCTCCCCTGCACCCATTTAAAGCCTCTGGGTGGGTCTTGGATCCCACTGGCCTGGGGCAGGCTGTGACCCTCCCTCCCCGCTTGCCCCAGCCTCGCGGCTGCCCCCGTGGCCTGCCTTGGCAGGGGAGTCACGGGTCCCTGCACTGTCCATGCAGTTCGTGCTTTGTGCCTGCCGGGTCCTGGCCGGGGACTGCCACGTGCTTGGTTGGCCTGTCCCTGGGTGGGCGCCTCCTGGGGACTTCCCCTCCAACCCCCAACCCCCTCAGAGGGCATGTTTGGGAGCCTGAGTCCCTGCTGTCCTCAAGTGGCAAAGCAGGGACTGCTGCCAGGGGTGACTCTCACAAGCTGTGTGGCTGTCTGTTCGCCTCCACGCTGCAGCAGGCGCCCCCCATGGGGCTGCAGTGCCCGTCTGCCAGAGGGTGCAGGCTGCAGTGCAGGGCGCCCAATGTGTCAGCTGCCCGGGAAGATGGGACGCTGGGGCCTGCACCACTCTCCCCACCCCCAGGACCACTCGGCCTGACCCCAAGTCCCCTCTTGTCCCTGTACACCCAGCCCACAGCCTCCAGGGGCTGGGGCTTGCAGGGCATGCTTCCAGGTCCCCACTGAGGACACGTGTCACTGGGCGGTCCCTGCCGAGGTCTGGGGGCTCAGCTGTGCTGGGGCGTGGTCTCCGGACAGCTTGGGCCTGGGGGTCTTCTCTGTGGCTGGGGTGCTGGGAGCAGGGTGGACTCGAGCCACACAGCCTGTTCAAGGCCCAGCAGACTGTGTCGGACGTGGTTTTGTCATGTGAGAGAAAAACGCCCGAGCTATACCAGCTCTGGACAGGATGCAGGGGGGTGACGATGGGGGCCCAGGAGGCAGCTGTGTTCCCCTTCCCCGTCTGGGTGCAGAGCCCCAGGAGGGCGCCCTGCCCAGCGCACTCCCCCCGTTTGCCAGCTGCCTGCCCCATCTTGTCGCTGGATTTGCAGGGGGTCTGATTACTGTGGGCCCTGGAGCCATCCTGTCCTGAACCCCGGGGCGGGGAGCTCTGTTCCCCCTCGGGGGTGGAGGTGGGACTGCCCCCCAGTGTTGCCTGCATGGGGGCAGGGCCTCCTGTCCTGTCACCTGAAATCTGCCTCTTCCAAGAAAACAAGCCACCTGGCACGCTGGCCACCTGGGTGCAGGCGGGGGCAGTACAGTGATGCTCCCCAGGGGTCCCTGCGGCATCAGCCCTCTGGAGGAAGCAGGCGGGCACGGGAGGCGGGGGGCGGAGTAGGAGTGAGGCGGGAATGCCCAGCCGTGGGCTAGTGGGCCGTCCGGCCTGGGATATTCAGAGCAAGAGGCCTCCCCGGCCACACTGATGACAATGACACCCTAACGTCCCTCAGACTTGCGAGCCCTCCGTCCTCCCTGGCCCTGCTCCTGCCATTCACAGACAATCCCCCTAGCCGTGCATTTTGCATGAAAGCCACACCTCGCCTTTGCTGGCCCGGGTGTGGTGACTCCGGAGATGGTGATTCAGACATGGGAACTGGCGTGGGGTGAGGGCCCCGGTGGTCCCGTGCCACAGAGAAGCTCCAGCAGGCTGGCGGGTCGGGGAGCCCCAGGTGGGAAGGGGGCCTGCTGAGGCTCTTTTTCAGTGGCTTCTCCCCAAGCCCGCAGGTTTCTGGAGCCGCCGTCAGTGGCTGGGCTGCAGGGAGCCCGGGATGTGCCGCTTAGCAGGATCCCCCATTTCTGGGTGCTTGTGACAGCACCTTGGCTCTGTGAGTCACGTGCCCTGATGCCCGCCAGGCAGAGGGGCTGCCAAGCCCGTTCCATCGGGCCCATCCAGGGAGACTGAAACTGGGCGGCTGGCTGGGAGGCTTCCTGAGCATCTGTGGCCCCTCGGCCTTGCAAGCGGAGGCACTGGGCTGGACACAGCCAGGCTCCTTTGCAGGTCTGCAGGGCACAGCACTGCCAGGCAGGCTCCCACGCCCCGGTTGAGATGGTGGAGGGCATGCAGACCTGTGCAGGCTCTCCCTCCCAGCTTCCCCCACGCGAGGCCTGCCCAGAGGGGACACAGGCCCAGGAAGGTGAGCAGAGGGCCCTCGTGAGCCGGCCCCGCAGTGTCCTCTGGGCTCCTGCCCTGCCTGGGCATGGCATGGGTCCCAGGGATGCTCGGGTGGGGCAGGTCCCGTGCTGCTCCTCGCTGGCTGGCACGTCTGTCGCAGCTGCTCCCTCGGGCTCCGCAGCTGCCCTGTGGTGCTGCCCCTGTGCAGCTCCACTGAACTCAGGGTGACCTGGCACCGGGAACCGGCGTCTCAGGCAGACATCGGAGTGTCCTGTTACAGGAGGCCCATCAGGTGGTCGCTGCCTTCTCTCCGCTGTCCCTGTGGTCCCCAGAGGGTGGGGCTTGATTCAGCTCAGGGCCCCGGTGAACCAGGGTTGTGTAGCCCAACCGAGACCAGCTTTGCCCTCTGTGCTGAGTGTGTGGTGCTGGGAGGGGTGGTCCTGCAGCCTGGCACAGAGGTCCTTGTTAAGAGCTTTAGTTGGTGCTTACTTGTTCCCGTGGCTGGTAGGGGGCACGCCTGAGAGAGCTGGCAGGGCCACCAGGGTTTCACAGTTTGTGTTCACGCCTCACTCCTGCCCTGCTCGCTCTGACTTCGGGGTCTCAGCTGGTAATCACACATGCCCGGTTGCCTCGGGTGCTAATCCCTGACTCACCCCTGCCACATACCTCCAGTTAATGAGGGCACTCACAGCCCTTCCGCTGCGGCCATGGACGGTGTGGGCTGCTCGCTCGCTAATTGGCGGGCATGTGGTCAGGGATTGATTGTCGCTCTGGCCAGCAGGCGCCACCCAGCCCGGGGGTCAGGCTGCTAACTGTTGATGGCCTCTGCCATCCAAGTGCACCTGGGCCCCCGGCTCCTCCCCCTACCGCCCCTGGTGATGAGAAATGAGGTTCATCCCGGGAGGTGGAGCTCATGCCATGGGGAAGGGGGCCGGCCAGCGGGGAGAGCAGGATTGGGAGCCCGGGCAGCCCAGAGTCTGTGGGTGGCGTGGTTCCTGGGCCGTCAGGTGCTTCTGTCTGTAAGTCAGGGTGGAAGGTGCCTCCCTCTGTAACCTGGGAGCTGGTCCTGGGGGGCTCCCAAGGGTCCCAAGCCTCCCTCCATCTCCCCAGTCCCCCGGGAAGTGCCCGCCTGGCCTCTGACTTCAGCCGTCCTTCAGAGCAGCTGGCTGCCCCCGTGCTGACCGTGGGGCACTCTGTCTGTTCTCTTTCCTTCTTCTGCTCTGGAGCAAGAATATCCACCGTCCCTCCACCGTGGGCACTGGTGTTGAGACAGGACCAGTCGGCCAGTCAGTAGGTCCTGGGTGGCCATGTCCCCGAGGCCGAGCGTGACAAGAGCTTTACGAGCAGGAGACATGGTGGCCAAGAGGTGGACGCGCTCAGTGTCCACCTGCAGGGGTGAGGGGTGAGGGGTTCATCTGTATGATGGACTGTTGTTATTCAGCTGTAAAAGGGGTGACCCACCGCAGCATGGGTGAGCCCTGGAAATGTGCTGAGTGGAGGGAGCCAGGCACAGGGGGCCACGTGTTGCGTGGCCCCACTTATGTGGACTGTCTCACAGAGACACGGCCGTGGAGGCAGCACAGACAGATGGTTTCCAGGGGCTGGGGGCCGACTGCACGTTCATACAGGGTTTCTTTTTGGGGTGAAACATCTTCTAGAATTGATTTTGGTGATGGCTGCACAGCTGTGAATACACTGAAACCCAGTGAATGACACACTCCGTATAAGTGAGTTCCAGGGCAGGAATTACATCTCAGTAAAGCTGTTACAACCCAAAAAAGAATAGTAGAGATTCCAGAGAAATTTCTTTTTTAGAGAGAAAGATCCCTTGCCTAATATATATATTTTTAATGTAAAGTAAGCTTTTCATCAAAATCTAAATACTGACAGAAGCCTGCCCAGGCTGTAAGTGCCCAGCAGGACAGATGATCAGAGTGCACCCAGGGACCAGGAAGCCAGGCAAGGCCCCCGCCATTGCTGCTCCCCCCGCGGGTATTCCTGGGCTTGTGCATCTGGCTGAGGGTTTGGGGTGCTTCCTCGCTCGCTGTGGAGCGCTCCGTCTGTCCTGAGCACATACCAGCTGTGTCCTTCCAGCTGCTGGTGGACGTGGGGGTAGTTTCACGTCGGGGGCTGCTGGAACCCCCTTGCTGTGTCTCTGCTGGATGTCAGCCCCGCTTTGCTGGCTGTGTACCCAGGAGTGGGGACTTCCGGGACGGGGTGGGCAGATGTGGCGTTGAGATATAGTCAGTTTTCTTAAGTTGTACAAACGTGGGTGAGGGCTCAGGGTGCAGGGCTCTGCAGGACTCACCACCGGGACATTCCTCCGTCAGCTCCCAGAGTGCTTGGCAGCCAGCCGGCTACACACCCAGGGCTGGTGAACCAGTCCGCCACTCGCCTCCCACACTCGTCCTGAAATTAGCTTCTTGGGTGGGTCTCACCGACTTGGCCAGGCCCAGCTTGCTTCAAAACTTTGCAGGCTGTCCCCTCTGGGAAGGGAAGGCACCCAGCATTGTCGCTTGTGTTGGCTGTCCCCCAGGAGTAACATTGAAGAGGCTCAGAAATTGCCTGAGCTTTTAGGCAGCATAGCTGGGATCTAGACCCCAGAGCTTGGTTTTAGGGGTTGCCCCAGCCAGCTTGGGGGTACAGGATTCTTGGTGTGTGTGGTTCACCTGGGGGATCAAGGGTTGTGCTTCCCCTTAGTGCCCACCTGACGGGTGGGAGCTGGGAACGAGGGGTGCCTGGGCTCGGCGTTGTCCCCGGGACCACTGGGCTGCTTTGCGGGCACAGCCTGCGGGGTTGGGACCAGGTGTCTCCCCTTGGGGCTGCCTGTACAGTGGTACAGGCTGTGTGCAAGCCTCGAGAGCCACCTGGAGGGGGAAGCACACGGCTGTGATGCTAATGGGCACAGGGTTTCTCTGTGGAAGTGACCTGGAATCAAATAGGGAAGGTGCACAACTCCCGGTGTGACTTAAGGTCATGGACCCGGGCACATTACGTGATGAACTCTATCTGATGGTTCTGCAACTTAAAAATAAATGCATTCAACATTTAAAAAACAACTCTCACTGTGTCCCCGCAACCTGCCTGCCGGCCCTGTCTCCCGGCTCTGACCACCTCTTACTCTGGCCCCCCAGGCACCTGTCTCCTTGGGGGGACTACCTCGTCCTGTGACCCCTCCTTGTGCACTCAGGGAGGGCTCGGGAAGACCTGTGAGCCTCAGGGGCCTGTCCTCACCCCCCTCACTCATGCCCCAAGTGTGGTGCTGCCTCTTGTGGGGGCAGGTCCTGCCTGGCTGGAGGGTGCATCAGGCCCCTTGCTCGCCCTGGGGCCTGGGAGGCGACCCTCAGAGGCCCATACCTGCCTGTGTGACCTGGGGTGTCATGCTCGGCTACCCAGAGTGACCCCTGCAAATATGTCTCATCAGGATTGGGGCAGAGGGTAGTCCTTCCTGGCCATTTTTCTTGGGTTGGGGGCTGAGGTGAGCACCCCTGCTGGGCCAGGAAAGCAGAGAAAGGGGCGCTGCCTGCCCCAGACCAGTGGGGACGCTGAGTTACCGCGCGGGTCCGCACCTCGAGCGGAGCATGACGGTGCCCTGCTCGGCTGCGGCTGTGCTGGGGGAGGGTCGCCGGAGCCCTCCGTCGGTGGCCCAGCTTAGGTTGCTTGTTCTCCTGCAGGGTCTTCACTGAGCAGCGAGTCGTCCCCCGTGTCCTCTCCGGCCACCAACCACAGCTCGCCCGCCAGCACACCCAAGCGCGTGCCGATGGGCCCCATCATCGTCCCCCCTGGGGGCCACAGCGTGCCCAGCACGCCCCCTGTGGTGACCATTGCCCCAACTAAGACCGTCAATGGCGTCTGGAGGAGTGAGAGCCGGCAGGTGAGTCCAGGTGGGTGGAGGAGGTGTGGCAGCAGGTGCTGGGAGGTGGCCCCTGAGCCTGTCTCCTCTGCAAAATGGGGTAACAGCCGCACCGACTCGGAGGGTCTGTGTGTTTTAAGACAATCAAGGGTGTTGTCCAGCAGCCACAGCCAAAGACCACGACTGGCAGCTTGAGTGACAGACTTATTCTCTTGTGGTTCTAGAGACTGGGCGCCCACGACCAAGGTGTGGGCAGGGCGGCTTCCTCGCGGGGCCTCTCCTTGGCATGTGGATGGCCGTCTGCCCCCCATGTCCTCGTGGCCATTCCTCTGTGTGACTGTGTCCTGATCTCCGGTTCTTGTAAGGACGCCAGTCACTGGATCAGGGCCAACTCGAATGACCTATTTTAACTTAATTACCTTTTTAAAGGCTCCGTCTCCAAATATGGTCACATTCCCAGGTTGTGAGGGTTGGGACTCTAACATGTGAATTTGGGGGGGACACAATTCAACCCGTACCCCCGAGTGATATGCATAACGTGGTGTGGGTGCATCCTAAGCACTTGATAGTAGTGGCTGTCACCGTGACCATTGCTCACACAAGGAATTGAGATGGGAGAGACCCCAGCCCACATTTTTGCTTCCCTGCCTCCGTCCTAGGATTTTGCAGGCCCTCTCCCCCAAGCCCTTCCCCCCTGTGCAGGCTCCCTGGTGTGGCTGCTGCCCTGGGGGACGTGCCTGTGCAGGAGCTGGGGGCCCTGGGAGCTGCTCCTTTGCACCCTCCCAGGCTGATCCCCTCCCACCTCCACCCTCTGGTGCCCAGGTACTCCCAGCCTGGAGGGGCCCTTCCCAATTAAGATGCTGTCACAGAGTCTCTCTGCTGGGATTTTCTGCGAGTTCCCGGAGGGATGGCACACTTGGAAATACTAATTAAACCAGAGAAAGCAGAGGAGGGGGGGCGGGGCCAATCTGGCCCCTCCTGGCTCTGTCTTGGGAGGGCTTGGGGCACGAGGTCTCTGCCTGGTCTTGGTCTGTCTGCTCTGGAGGGTGGCGACCTGCCTCTGTCCAGGGAGGGCCTGACCTGCAGGCCCCCTAACCCAGGGAAGCCATCCCCAGGGAACCCAGCCAGGATCCCTGAATTCCTGGGAACGGCTGTAGGACTCGACCCTCCTGGGCCTTCACCTGGGCAAGGCACGCCAAGCTGCCCTGGAACCCACCCCCTCGCCCCGTGCACAGTGTGTAGGGCTGGGACGGCAGGCCAAAGGGTTCAGAGGCCCCTGAGCCAACTCCCAGTCCTGGTTTGAGGGGGGACGGGGGTCACCAGAATCCCCCACCTCCAGAGGGACCTGTTGTCCCTCACCGTCAGCCCCCTGACTCAGAACATTGTGGCTCCCTGCCCCTCCCCAGCTCACTGGGGCCCAGGCAGTTTCCGGGTCCGTCAGCCGCCCCGGCCGGGTCATCCCCATTGCTCCTGCCCCTTTCCCAGCTGGCCCTGACCCCATGTAAATATTTCCCTCCTGGATGCTGAGTGCCTCTGCCTGGGGCCCCTGTCTGGGCTCCTCGCCTCTGAGCGCATCCTGTTCACTTCAGAAGTGCTTAGCAGGCCCAGGGGCGGTGAGAGCTCTCCTCCAGCCGCTTACCGTCACCGTCACCGTGGCAGTTAATGAAATACTAATGCCAGCAGGGCGGGCCAGGGACAGGACTGGATTAGCAGGTGATGTATGGCTCGGCAGCTCCACACAAAGGCTCAGTGGAGAACTTAATCCTTCTGGGGAGGAGGCGCCGGAAGAGGCGTGAGGGCAGCAGAGAGGGGGCTCACTTCCTCAAGTGGGGGCACAGGAGTCGGGCCCCTGCATGGGAGGGCCATGGCCAGGGGCCTCAGGGCCCTTTGCCAGCTTACACCACCTCCCAGGTAGTGGGAGCTGCAGAAGGGTGAATGAGATGGCGGTGGTCCATTCTGAAGCTAATGGGCAGGCCTCCCATCTGACGGGCAGCCTTTCTAGTCACCAGGGAATGAAGGGCAACCCCCTCCCCTTTCTCCTGTCCCTGCAGCTGCTCCTCAGCCACTGCTCAGAAACAAAAGCTGCCCACAGATGCTCCTGACGCAGGCCTGTCTGCCAGGGCCGCCGCTGGGGTAGCTTGGGGTGGCCGACCAGGCCTCCAGGGCCTGGCCTGGGGTGGGGGCCCCTGCCTGCCCCTCCCTGCCCCACGTGCTCCAGGGCCGGCTGACCCCATTCCCAGGTGCCTGTCACCAGCCTGGCAGGGCTCCAGCCAGACGGACGGCGTGTGGGCTGGCCTGCTGGGTCCTCTGCCCGCCAGCCAGCCCCTCCCCCAGCCCTCCGGCTCCTTGTTCCTAGCCAGGCCAGGAAGGTGCCATCTGGCCCAGCTTCCTTCAAGAAGGGCTTTGTCCCGCCGAGGGGAGAAGGTTGGCTTCTGGGGACATCTCTGAGTGGCGATGGTGCCCTCAGGGCCCCCTGCCCTGTGTGGGCTGCTGGAGCAGATGGCCTGCTTTGGCCAGACCTGCCTGGAGCTTCTGCCCTGATGTCCCCACATCAAGGTCCCTGTGCACGGACTCTGCTGTTCCAGGTGGACGGGGAGCCCTTTGGTCGCTGGCTCACTGGCAGCCTGAGGTTGGAGCCCACCTGCCCTGGGTCCCCATCAGTGCTGAGTTCAGGGTCATCAGGATAGCTTCCCTGGGCCCCAGCTCCTGTGTCCCCGCCTGGAGAGCATCTGAGGGACACACTGTCCCCCGTCCAGGCCTTCCCAGTCTGAGGGCACAGGCCTTTTCTATCCCCTGGCGGCCCCCATGAGGGCAGACCCCTGGAGCAGCCCGGTGTAGGGCCCAGCACCATGTCTTCACGGACGCCTGGCTCTTGTGCTGGCCTGGCCGCGAGCCGGGCAGCGTGTGGGTGAGGGGGAACCCAGCAAGGCCTGACCCTGAGAGAGCCCCTCAGACAGCAGTGTGGACTGGGGAGGGGCGAGGGTGGTGTGCCTGACACTGAGCCCCCGTGCTCCGGCCCCCCACTTCCTGTGTGCATCTGTCCCCACTGCTCTGATTGGCATGTTACAGATGGGGAGGCCGGGGCATGGGGTGCTTATGGGACCAGATAGGAGCTGTCTCCTAAAGTCAGGCCACATGTAGAAGTGCCTGGAGACCAGGAGGCTGCAGTTCTGGGCTCCCTGCTCTGACCCAGAGGGCTGGTGCCCGTGTGGCCCACCCCTGGCACTCCACGGGAGCACCCCTTCTGGGGAGGGCAAGGCGGGGTTCCTGAACCTGCGAGGACCCCTCCAGGAGTGGAGGGGCTGTGCCAGCACAGGGAAGGGAACAGATGTTGCCGCTCATTAAAAATTCCAATCAGCGGCTTGTCTCCTTCAATTAATTACCGCTGATGTGGCTTCTGAAGGACCGAGGAGGGCGCAGGGGCTGCCTGGCTCTGGGAGCGCTTAGTAAATACGCCTGACAGACAGGCCTTCCCCTGCTGGCCTGGGCCACCCACGTCTGCCCCGTCTTACCTGTGGCCTTCTGCCCTGTCGCTGATGTGAAGGCGGTGGGTCACCGGAAGGTGAGGCAGTGGTGGTCCATCCCTGGAAAGTCCTCCCACACGAGGAGTTGAATAAATTGGGGCTCTGCTTTCCCCGCCTCGTGACCGTGACCAAGGAAAGCAGGGAGTGAAGGGTCTGTCTCCTCGGGGGCAGGGTCATATCGCCACCAGCTGTCCAGCAGGGTCCCCAGACTTCCCCCTAGCCTGCCAGTGTATAGAGGAGACAGGGCTGTGGCCCCCCTGGTTTTGAAAGCGCTTGGCATTTGGTGGCATGGTGGAGACACTGGATTTTGGGTGGACAGACCAGGAGCAACACCTGCCTTCTGCAGCCGGTGTTTGCTGTCTGTGCGTCCGCAGTGGCCTGACCTGATGCCTGGGGTGGGGCGTCATGCCCAGCTGGCCATGGGGCCTGTGGGGCTCAGCCTAGGCTGGTGCTGTCCTCCCCCAGTGATTAAGTCCCCCAGGTTCATCACTGCTTGGAATCCAGAACAAGATCTCCCTGACTGATTATGCTCTGGGTCTGGCCATGTGGGCCCTTTCAGCCTCATAAGGGCAAGAGTGGTTAGAAGCTTCTGTTGATCTGTTTTCTAGGGGCTCGATGCTCCTGTGGAGGGGCGTGCAAACTGCTGGGCCGTGAGGCCAGGAGTGACGTGCACCCCTCCTCTGGTTCCAGGGTCTGCCTCCCCCACCAGGCCCAGATTGCCACAAGCCCTGCCACCACGGGCAAAGGTGTCCCCAGACAGGTCTGGCCAGTTGAGGCCCAACTGGTCTGTTTTCTGGCCATGCCAGAGTCGCCACAGATTGGTGGGGGGCAGCGCCAGTTTATCGGCCGTGTCCCTCTGTGGGCACCAGAGGTATCTGAAGCATGCTGGCAGCTGGCCACACAGCTGATGCCTCAGTCCCTGGGGGGCACCTGCGCATGCCTGATCAGTGGTTGGGGGCTCCAGAAGGTTCTGTCACGCCCTGGGCTGAGTGCAGAGCTCACTCCCTGAGGGTGCCAGGACACCAAGGTCATCTAGGTCCCCAAGCTTGGGTTCGGAGCGGGTGTAAGCGCCTGGGAAGTCCATGCCGTGAGAGGCAGGGAGCCCCTGCTCTGTGTCAGCTCCCCTCACGGCACTGGCCTTGATGACCCCAGGCATCCTGGACCAGGGTTCCGTTCTTCCCCGTTGCCCCAAGGAGAGAATGGGCCCCCCCAGGTGGGTTTCGGTCCAGACCTACCCTCTCCCCCTCACATCACATGCCCTGCAGGTTTGGGGAGAAAACCTCAAGAATGTGCACTAAAACCTTAGGGTCCTTTGGTCTAGAGGAAGGCCCGGCTGGTCTCCTTTGGCGGCACTGTGAGCAGGGCTCGTGCCACCGCCCCTGCCCTGACCCCCTGCCCTCTGCCCTCTGGCAGGACGCCAGCTCGAGGGGCAGCGGCGGCCGGGAACGCCTCATCGTGGAGCCCCCACTGCCCCAGGAGAAGGCAGGGGCCCCAGCCATCCCCTCCCACCTGCTCAGCGCCCCCTACCCTTTTGGCATCTCCCCCAGCTCTGCTGTGCAGGACTCCCGCTTCCCGCCGCTCAAGTAAGTACAGTTCAGGGCTCGTCTGGGGTATGCGTACCGGGGGTCTGGATCCCTGAGACCTGGCAGCATGATCTGTACCAGCTGAGGCTGGGAGCCGCCAGGTGGTGGCTCAGCCCTGGGCCCACAAGCCCCATCTGTGCCTACTGTCCATTTCTACGCCGGGACGGTGGCTGGCACTCCCGGCCTGCCTGAACCCCCGTCCTGGTTCCGGGTTCCTGGGGCCTGCTGGTGACAACAGGAGGGGTCCAGGCCGGCCTGAGGGGCAGCAGCTGCCCCCCTTGCTGCCTCGGGCCTCGTGCCAGGACCAGCATCCTGTTAGTGAGCCAGGGCCTGTCCCCAGAGTCGTCCTGACAGTCAGTGGCGGGCAGGGGCAGGCTGGCCGGTTCCTGCCCGGGGCAGGACCGTGCTCACCTCCACCTCCCTCCCCCGATCCGTGCCCACAGCCTCCAGCGGCCAGTGCACCACGTGGTGCCCCCGAGCACGGTGACCGAGGATTACCTGAGGAGCTTCCGGCCCTACCACACCACCGAGGACCTCCGCATGTCCTCCCTGCCTCCCCTCGGCCTGGACCCGGCCACCGCCGCAGCCTACTACCACCCCAGCTACCTGGCCCCGCACCCCTTCCCCCACCCGGCCTTCAGGTGAGGCGTCCTAGGGCGTCACCACACATGCCCTTGTGGCCAGGATTGTGTTCTCACGTCCTGGGCCAGACTGTGGGTGAGAGCGCCGAGCAGCCCGCGCCAGCCCTCCCGCGTCGGCCCAGGAGCTGCCCCGGTGCAGAGAGCCCAGCTGTCTGAGCTGTCACCTACCCACTGCCCGCGCCTGCAGCACTTTGTTACTAAAGCGAAAGCGTGGCTTGTGTAAAAGGGGGATGCCTTTGCTGTACAACCATGAAACCCCCTTGGAAATACGTGCCTCGTCGCTGCTCTGGGTGAAGCTCCCTGAATCCTTGCCTGATGGGTCTGGGGTAGGCTGTGGACCACCTCTCACGCAGGGCCTGCAGCAGACCTGGGAGGGTCTCTACTCAGCTGTAGTGTCCTGGCCTGGCCCAGCTGAGGGGTTCCGGGCAGGGCCTCGGACCCCATGCTGTTGGTGTTTAGTGGCCCTGGTTGGTGAGGGAGTTAAGAGCCGGCCGCAGACATGGCCTTTGTGGCAGCTCCATGCCCATCTCTCCTGTCCAGTACGCTCAGGTCAATGCAGACACCAGGCACCAGTTGGTGGGGTGGGGGGGTAGGGGTGGGGTCTCACCTCTTTTTCTTTAATGTTGCCGCTTACTAGCCCGTCTTTTTGGCACAGGATGGACGACTCCTACTGCCTGTCAGCCCTGCGGTCCCCCTTCTACCCACTGCCCACCCCTGGCTCCCTGCCCCCGCTGCACCCATCGGCTATGCATCTCCACCTGTCCGGGGTCCGCTACCCACCTGAGCTCTCCCACTCATCCCTGGCGGCGCTGCACTCAGAGCGGATGTCCGGCCTTGGCGCTGAGAGGTAAGCCACGTCCTGGCCAGGCTGCCCTCTGCTCCTCAGGCCCAGGGCAGATCCCGGGCTGGAGCTGGGCAGGCGTGCTCCTGGGCTGCTCCTGTCCTCAGCCTGCTTACCTGTCAGACAGGTGACAGGTGACACTTGGGGCATCTGGATGCCCTGGATGCCTGGCCTAGCTCCCTTATCAGCAGTGCTTAGAGTCCGTGTGCCACCTTGGTGCTAATGGGCTGAGCTACTCCTGCCTTAATAAACTAGAACCTCGCTGCTCAGATTAGAAGGCTGGTTTCCGTGAAAACCTTGGGCTCGGGGTCTGTTGCTCACTTGCAGGAATTCCCCTTAAGGGACCATGCTGGCCCCATGCCCTGCGTGGTGGCACTCAGGACCCTTCCTGCCTGCCTGCAGGCTGCAGATGGACGAGGAGCTGAGGCGCGAGCGGGAACGCGAGAGAGAAGCCGACCGCGAGCGGGAGAAGGAGCGTGAGCGGGAGCGGGAGAAGGAGCTGGAGCGGGAGCGCGAGCGCGAGCGGGAGCGGGAGCTGGAGCGCCAGCGGGAGCAGCGGGCGCGCGAGAAGGAGCTGCTGGCCGCCAAGGCCTTGGAGCCCGCCTTCCTGCCTGTGGCCGAGCTGCATGCGCTGCGTGGCCACGCGGAAGAGCGGATCAAGCCCTCGGAGCAGCTGACCCCGACCAGAGCAGGTACCTGGCTGGGCCCGGTGCTGGGGGAAGGCGGGTTGCCCGCAGCCGGCTCTCCCAGGAGGGCTGACTGGGTAGCAGCTGCCAGCCTCCGTGGAGCAAAGGTCACAGTGTGGCAGGCTTCCAGCTGGCAGGGAGCTGGAAGGACATGTGCAGCGGTGCCAGCAAGACGCACTGGATGTGCGTGGCCTTGGGAATTCGCTCACTAGATGTATCAGAAGTGTGAGGACAGGAGGAGTCTTGAATGCTGCTTTGTTTTTATCAAATCTAGTTCCATGCATAGGCCACGGAACTTCAATAACAGCTTGTTGAGCCAAGCGGCTTGCCACGGTCGGCTGCCGCGGTGCCTCCTGGGGGCGTTCCTGGGGACTTCACTGGGGCCCCTTTGGGCTGCCCGGCGAGGCCGTGGGGAGAGCCCTTCAGAAGGCTAGTGCGTCCCCAGGGCTGGAGGAGGCGGGTGAGCCCAGATCCCGCCGTGATGGCATCTCTCCCCACAGAGAAGCTGAAGGACACGGGCCTACCAGCGCCCAAGCCTGTGCAGCACCCCTTGCACCCGGCGCCCACGCCCCACCATGCCATGCCCGGCCTCCTCTCCAACCATGGCATCTTCTCGCTGCCGGGCAGCAGCGCCGCCACGGCCCTGCTCATCCAGCGCACCAACGAGGAGGAGAAGTGGCTGGCGCGGCAGCGGCGCCTGCGGCAGGAGAAGGAGGACCGGCAGTCGCAGGTGTCGGAGTTCCGGCAGCAGGTGCTGGAACAGCACCTGGATATGGGCCGGCCCGCGGTTCCCACGGAGGCGGAGCACAGGCCGGAGAGCGCCAGGTGGGCCCCGGGGGCACGTGCGCGGTGGGGGGCAGCTCCGGGTGGTGGGGGGGACAGCGTCCTCACACTCGGGTTTGTTCACAGCCAGCATTTCCCGAGCACCTGCGGTCCGCCCAGCGTCCTGCTGAGCTTTCTCACCTGGTGTTTCCTTTCATCTTCAGTCCCCATTTTGCCCGTGAGGAAGCAGAGACGGAGGAGGGCGAGGAGGTGCTCAGAGGCGCCCCGTCCCCGAGTAACGTGGCTGCCAAGCCCGCGTCCAGAGCGGGCCTTCCCACGCAGCCCAGCTGCACCCACACGGGGGCATTTGTGGCACCTGAAGAGAGCTTTTGAGCCCAAACTTTTTTTAACAATAAGGGGAGGGGATGCCTTTAATTATTTAAATAAAAATTACCTTTACTACTTTTGTTATAAAACAAAATGCCATTTCCCAGATCCTTTATAAAAAATCCCCAGGGGCCTCTGTGCCTGTCCAGGATCCCCCCTACCCAGGTGCTGAGACTTGCCTTGGGAGCTGTGCCTTGCCGCTGCCACCCTTTGGCCTGGCGCATCACTCCAGGGTGCATCCTGAAGGGTGGGGTGAGGCCCTCTTCTGGTAGAGAGCCAGGCTGCAGGGGTGCTGGGTCAGGTGTTCCCTCAGTGGGGCACAAAGGCGTTTGGGCAGGTAGGTTTCTGAGTGTCTTCACAGTTACTGTGCCCACATGCTGTCTGGAGACGAGAAACACCTGGTGTCAGGCCCTCCACACCCACGCACTCTCCCTTGGCTGGCCTGGGCGTGGCTGGCCTGTTCAGCAGCCCCACCTCAGCGCCTACTATTGAGGGTGGTGGTAGGGGAGGTGGCTTGACTCATCAGGTGTGATGGGGGCACTACAGCTGGGCCACCTCGCTGGGTCCCCCCAAAGCCTCCAGCCTACGCTGCCCATTGGCCTCAGGGAAACCCCCTCTGCTCCTCTGCGCCCACCCTGAGGCTGCACGGAGGCTCAGGCTGGTCTGCTTGTGAGCTGACCGCCTGCATGCCCAGGGCACTGGGGAAGCAGCCAGCATCTCCTGGTAAAATCTGCGTGTTCTGAGTCCTGAGGGCATCTTCCTCTGGTTCCAGTGGGGCTGTCAGGACCCTCTGCTGCCTCTACCATGGGCACCCCTGTGCAGGCCTGGGCATGGGCAGGAGACAGGGCCCCTGGCCGGCCTCAGCAGGCCCCACAAGCAGCTGGCAGCAGGCTTGCCTCACAGCAGCATGGATTTAACAGCCCTTGCGCTGAGCTAGAGACCCATTCAGGGCTTGGCTGTGCTGCATAAAATATTTATTCTGCTAACGGGTTTGACTCCCTTGCTGTTTACTTAAGGACACGCAGCTTCTTGATATGGTTCCCTTTGTCCTCTGCCGGCCAGAGGTGCGGCAGCTCCGGGGCGCCTCCCAGCCTGCGTTCAGAAATAACTAGGATGAAGCTTGGTGGTTGTGACCCCCCTTTGGCCCGCAGGGAGAGGTCGTATGACCGCCGTGGCCTTGGCCCTGTCCATCCCGAGACTTTGCCTGGGTCACCTTGTCAGCAAGGAATAGATAAACTTTGGGAAAGGAATATGTAAATAGCCTTTTGTAAGTTAAATTTCGTTCTAAGTGCAGTGAGGAAAGAGTCATTTAATAGATTGCAAGGTGGAGCCACTTGTCGCTGGAAAGTCCCTCCAGACCCCTGTGAGGGGCGCCTGCTGCAGTGGACGGCCCAGGTCCCAGACGACTTTGGGGCCCCGCACAGGGTTGCTGCCGTTCTGGCAGTGACCGCCGGGGGTCAGCAGCAGCATAGGCCCACCCTGGCTGTGAGGGCCTGGGTGCCAGCCCCCCAACCCCTCTCGCTGCTGTCTGAGGGCAGTGAGGACTAGAGGCAATGGCCTCTTTGAAAGCAGCCGTCTTCCCCACCTCCATCGTGTGCCCATAGCTTGGCATATCTGGAGCCAGGTGCTGGCAGCAGGGCCATCTTTATTGCCTATGTCATGGGCCTCCCTGTGGAACCATGAGAAGGGTCTGTCCTTACAGAGCTCATGGACCTTCGGGAGGTGGGGGAGAGGTGGGTCATTTAGTACAAGGTCCCAGGTGAGAAACTGGTTGGAAGGCAGCTCCGGCCCGGGCACCTTCAGCAAGCAGTGTCCCTTCCCCAGGCCCCTGAGTCCTCTCAAAGGCAGGGCCACACGGACTCACCTCCAGCTGTTTTAAGATGAAATGGAGTCACGTGGAGTTGGCCTCAGCAGGTGGGCCCTCAGCTGTAGTTACCAAGGGGTCCTGTCTGCACCACCCTAGAAGCTGTCTCCTGCCTCTGGGCCCCTGCAGGTCTCCTGGAGGCCCGTGGGTGGCCAGTGTGCTCCCTCATGACTGATGCCTTCATCTGCTCATTCCCCAGGCCGGGACCAAACCGTCAAGAGCCAGGCAGCCGAGATCCCCCGCAGCATTTTGGGGGGCCCCCACCCCTCATCTCACCCAAGCCGCAGGTCCACTCTGTGCCCACGGCCCTCTGGAACCCTGTGTCCCTGATGGACAGCAGCCTGGAGCCACGGCGGGCCCCCGAGAGCCACCCTCTGCACAGCCACCCCAGCCCGTTTGAGCCCGGCCGCCAGGCGGCAGTCCCGCTGGTGAAGGTGGAGCGGGTCTCCTGCCCAGAGAGGGCAGAGGAGGGGCCCCGGAAGCGTGAGGGCGCGCCCCTGGACAAGTACCAGCCGCCACCACGGGAGCCTGGGAGTCTGGACCACCAGGCCTTCCCACATGGTCCCGGGCCCTTCCTGGCTGAGCTCGAGAAGTCCACGCAGACCGTCCAGCCGCGGGCCCCCCTCACCCAGCCAGCCCCCTTTGGGGAGCTCACCGGGCCGCTGAAGCCAGGCTCACCCTACTGGCCCGCAGCGCCACGGGGCCCCGACCCCGCCTACATCTACGACGAGTTCCTGCAGCAGCGGCGGAGGCTGGTCAGCAAGCTGGACCTGGAGGAGCGCCGGCGGCGGGAGGCCCAAGAGAAAGGTCCGGTCCCCTGGGTGGCCCCCGACGTGGTGGGCCTGGTGAGGCAGCAGTGCCAGCCACTCAGCCCTTCCCTTCCCCCACTCCTGCTTCCTGCTCTGGGGTTTCAGCAGTTCCGGAGAGCAAGTTCCATGGCGTCTGTGCCGCCACCTGACACCTAGGGAGACAAGACAGGCTCAGGGTCCCTTGCCTGTCCTGCCGCAATGCAGACTGTCCCAAAAAAACAAACCGAAGCCTGTCTGCGAAAGCGTTCCACAGACATGCACCATTAATAAATGATGACTGGAGGCTAGGAAGATGGGCTTAAATATTAGTGTAGTGCAACGGGGAAGGGGCCTCCGAGAGCGGCCCAGTGGGGGTGCGGGCCGGGCGGGGTGGTCTGGCCACTCCCTGCTTCCTGCTCCCGAGGGGTTTGGGGTGAAACTTGGTCCGTAGCTCCCTGCGTTCCCCAAAGAGCCAGGAACAGGTGAGCTGCACGAGTGGCTGTCTGTGGCCCACCTATGCCCCTGCCCCCCAACTAAGAGGCATCAGACTCAGACCAGTTTCCTTTCTGTAGCTGGAAGTTCAGGTCCTGTGCTATGTTGAATGCAACCTCTTAGCCAGAAGCCAGGGCCACGGCCAAGTCTTTCTGGGTTGGTCCAGGCTAGATTTAGGGCCCAGGAAGGATTTTCTCCCTCCACTCACCTTGTGAAGGAGGTGGGGAGCCCCCAGTGCCCTCAGGGGCAGCGGTCCTCTGCTGTCCTTTGCAGCAGGTTTGTGGGCATGTCCTGTGTCTCCGAGAGGACAGGGACCTGAGTGTGCCTGTCCCCTTAGATAATGAACCCAGATGGCCATGCAGGAGGGAGCAGATGTGCACAAACGGCCTTGGGTTGCCACGGTCACGGCCCCAGGCCATGATGAATGATGCCCTGCCAGGGACCAGTGTTAGCTCAGGGACTGCCTGGCCTCTTGAGGCCTGGATGCAGAAGCCTGGTGCCTGTGTCCTAACCCCCACCTGCCATCCACAGAAAGCCCTAGGACTAGGGGTTAATGGCCCTTCCTAACTGGGATGAAAGGAATCTAGGTTTCCGGGTGCTCGGGCAGGGGGGTTTGCGGAGGCCCTGCCCTGACAGGCGGGTCTGTGCACACGTGGGTGCCCAGCACACACACACACACACACACACACACACCAGGAATGAGGCCCCTTGCCCAGCTGAGCCAGGTGCTTCCTGCCATCAGGGTACTACTATGACCTGGATGACTCCTACGATGAGAGTGACGAGGAGGAGGTCAGGGCCCACCTCCGCTGCGTGGCCGAGCAGCCGCCTCTCAAGCTGGACACGTCCTCCGAGGTACCGGGTCCGTCACCACTGTCAGGCTATGGGCTGGGCACTGGTGCCCACCGCGGTACCCACCTCTTGTCTCTGTCCCCATCCCAGTCAGTCCCGCACTGCCACACAGCAGGGGCCTAGACGTACTGCCAGGGTCCTCCTGCTCCAAGGCCCAGTGAAGGGTGGGCTTTGAGGACCCCAGGAGGGGCCCCTGGGACAGTGGAAGCATGCCACCACCAGTGGTTTCAAAATCATTTTGTTTTCTTTCCCAATCTAGAAGCTAGAGTTTTTGCAACTTTTTGGCTTGACCACCCAACAGCAGAAGGAGGAGTTGCTGACCCAGAAGCGGAGGAAGCGGCGGCGGATGCTGAGGGAGAGAAGCCCGTCCCCCCCGATGATTCGGAACAAGCGGCAGACGCCTTCGCCGAGACTGGCTCTGACCACCCGCTACAGCCCCGACGAGATGAACAACAGCCCCAACTTCGAAGAGAAGAAGAAGTTCCTGACCATCTTCAGCCTGACCCACGTCAGCGCTGAGAAGAGGAAAGGTGAGGCCTGGCCCTGGCCTCTCGGGCAGAGCTCACTGGGCTGGCTGAGGGCTTGGAGAAGCTGCTGGGACCCTGGAAACACTCGCGCCCTGGGGCTCTCGATCCCCTTTGGCTCCCAAGGAAGCTGCCACCTGCTTCTGTAGACCTACCCTGGCATCGCTTGGCCTTCAGGCTTCTCTCCATCTGAAACTCAGATTGCCCCGTTTGAAGCCCATTTTCTTATTCCATCCTGGGTGGGAATTGAAGACTCACTGGTGTTTGTTCTGTATGTAAAGCTCACTGCAAGCTTCATCTTGTCACTTGTCAGATCTTGCAGCGCCCAAGAAGGTGGGCTTGGTGACCCCCAGGGCGCACAGTGGGGCGCCCTCTGTGGCAGGGTTCTGGGCTCCACGGTAGGGCGGCGTCTTGTTGATGGGCCGCTGATGCGGCCGCTGGGCTTCGTGTTCTGATGACTGGGGGCTTGGGGTGGTCTGCCACCACCAGGTAGAGCCAACACATACTGTGATTGGACAGTTTGCCCTGAGAGATGCTTCTGGGTCAGTCCAGCCACCAAGGGCTGTGGTGAGACCAGCTCTGTGGGCTGGATCCATAGGGCAGAAGCGGTGCGGTCTGAACACTCCCTGGGGGAGTCTGTCTACTTATCTGCCCCACAGGCTCACTTAGTGGCAGGATATGGGTTTGGGTCTTGGCCTCCCTGCGGCTCATCTGCACACTTCCAGGTCCCCCTCGCTGACACCTGGTCACCTCTCTCCGGAAGGTAGTCAAAAGGAAAGCATAAGTGCAAAGAAGTTTACTTTTCTCTACTTCCTTCCTCCTTGGGCTGTAGCAGGTTACCCTTTGTCTTTAACCAGTAAGCGGGGATTCTCGCCTTCCCTTAAAGAGGCACTGTTGTGTTTATTCCCAGTACAAACTGCGTGCATGGTTTGTTTGTAAGAAGCATCCTTTTAGCTGACTTAATTCCTGGAAGAAGTCACAGTGACATGGCCACTTAAGGTTTAGTTAGTGAGACGCCCCCTGCATCAGGAATGTGTGGTGCCGAATGACGCAAGGGTCTGTGTGCTTGTGCACCAGGAGCAAGGAGTGGCTCCCAGGGCAGCTCCTGTTTCCAGGAGGAGGGCACGAACTTGTGGGTGGTTTCCTTGAGTTTGGGCCAACTGTTTTCTTTCTTTCTTTCTTTCTTTCTTGTCTTCTAAATAAGAATATGTTCTCAGAAGTCCCCTCAGAAGATCACAGGTACCCGTATTTCGCGGTACACACACAGCTTTTACAGGATACCTCTAAAATGTGACAGCAGAGCTGAGAGGCATCGAGGCTCACTCTAAAATGATTTTTTCCATTAAACACAACTTCTGCCCATGGCATGTGCTTTGTGTCTTTCTTGGTTTAAAGGACTTGGCATCTGCCAGTCCTGATCTGGCCTGGGATCCTGCCCCCTCCAGAAATGATACAACTCTTGTTAATCTCAGGCTGCTTTTCTCATAGACAAAGAGAAACTTGTTGAAATGCTCCATGCCATGAAGCAGAAGGCACTGGCCGCCGCTGTGGCAGATGCACTCAGAAACTCTCCGAGGGACAGTCCTGCTGCCCCCCTGAGCGGTAAGGCCGGGCAGGACAGGCCATCTGCCATCCCCCAGGACTGTCCCGCGGGCAGCCCAGGGTCAGAGGTGACCACTCAAGGTCGCCTTTACCACCAGTCTTTCCTCTTGGACGCAGACTGTGCCTCTCTCCATCTCTCTTGCACAAGTTTCTGCACGGTAGTTGCGATCTCCTCAGGACAGAACATGCCAGTTGGAAGTTGGGGCGCAGAGTTAGGGGGAGGGCCCCGGCTGCCGCAGAGCTGCCTGGGGTCTGTTCATAGCCATCGTCCGTCAGTCCAGTGTTGGCCTGAGCTGCCGGAGCCCCGAGCCGGGGTTTCTGAGCCTGCTGCTCCCACTGCCCTTCGTGGGTGCTGTTCTTGGGGCCTCGTCTCGTTTGTCCCGCCTTCCAGGCCTCTGGTAGCTGCTTTCACACCCCTCTCTCTGTGTCTCTCATGCTTTGTACCTCGCTGTGCTGCCAAAGGGAGTGAGAGATCTTCACGGCACAGCCCTGTTCTCAGCTCCTGACGTGGTCTTTCTTGTCTGTTCGGGTTGTGCAACTTCCACCTTCTGAATGAACTAAAGTTGACTTGCTCCTTCCTGCAGATTCTTTTTCTTTCCAGATGCCTTCTCAGGGCACCTTTCGAGAATGGACTTGCTGCTAAGCACTCATCGCCCTTCAGACCACAGAGTGTACAGTGACATCTAGTTCAGTGGCTCCCCAAGTCTTGGTCCTTTGTACTGGGTCTTTATTGAATGTAAGCACTAGAGGTCAGGGTCTGCCGGCTCCTTTACAGCTCTTAAAACATTTTCCTCGATTTCTGTCTCTAAAAGAACCAGCCGCTCAGCACGCCTCTCTGGATGTGGAGAAGCCTGTGGGTATTGCTGCTTCCTTGTCTGACGTCCCAAAGGCCACAGAGCCTGGGAGACTGGAACAGCTCCGGCCCCAGGAGCTAGGGCGAGTCCAGGAGCCAGCTCCCACCAGCAGTGAGAAGGCCAGGCTGAGTGAGGCCCCTGGGAGCAAGAAGAGCCTCAGCATGCTTCATTACATCCGGGGCCCTGCGCCCAAGGACATTCCCGTGCCATTGTCCCATAGCATCAACGGGAAGAGCAAGCCGTGGGAGCCCTTCGTGGCCGAAGAGTTTGCACATCAGTTCCACGAGTCTGTGCTGCAGTCCACCCAGAAGGCCCTGCAGAAACATAAAGGTAATGAGCCTGCACGTCCCAGCTCTGCACTGGGTCACTAGAGAGGTGGGCTTCTGGCCTGGAGCATCACCCGCAGTGGCTCAGCCTCAGCATGGGCTCCCCCGAGCTCCCGTGTGCACAAGTACCTGCGGAGTGCGTCACAGGTGGATTCTGCCTCAGCAGGTCCTGGACAGGCCGAGAGTCCTCTGTTTCCAGGAGGTGCCTGGGCAATGCTGCTGCCAGTGTGCAGGCCACACTTCATGAATTAGTAAGCGGTGCCGTCTGAGTTTGGGATTAAGCACATCCATTCAGAAGGCCAAGCAAGGTGCCCCTCCAGCAAAAATAGGACCCACGCCTTCCATTGCTGAGTGATTTCCCAGCTTTCCCCCCCTCCCCGCCCCAGCTCACCTGGAGACCTCACCGTCCTGTGATAAGTAGACCCAGCAGGTATTCGTCCCACTGGTCCTGGAGGGCCCTTGTGACATAGTGGCTGCTCTGGCCCTGGGTCTGAGCCCTCAGGTGGTTTGGTGGAAGTCACGGAAGTTTGTAGAACGGCCCTTCTTTTCCTTACCACTGAATTGAAGGTTGAAATTGGTCAGAAAAGAATCCTCAGTGATCAGATAACTTCTGAGTGTGATTTCTGTACACGCCATTAGTCAGAAAAAAAAATGCAGCTATTATGCCAAAACTTTAAAAAAAATTATTACTGCAAGCTATAAAAGCTATATTTAAGGTAAATAAGCATTTTTAGGCATATGGGTCTGACACTGTATTTTTCAGGTAAGTCAGTGCTGTCAGCAGAAATGAAGTGAAATACCCAGAAAGCAAAGCAATGGGTTTTACAGTGATTAAAGACTGCCCCCAAATCAGGAGATGCACTTTACTGGGTGTTTATCGTAAGTTAACTTGAATCTGTTCTTCAAGAAGGAAAGTTTTTAACTAGAGGAGTAGGTTAAATACCTCTGTTCCTTCCGGGACATACCTCAGGGGCTTTTTTGTGGCCCATCTTGTTTTATTTCCTTTCCTGACATCACACCCATTTCTTGGGATTGTAGTGTCGTGCCTACCATGCCAGTTTGAGCCACAGAGGTTCACTGGACGGGTGTCAGACTCTGCATGGGGAGGCTGCATGCACCTGTTAGAAAAGCACCCGTAGGCCATGCCACAAGATTGCACAGATCTTGTCTACATAGGTCCCAGCAGCAGGGTGTACTCAGAGACTGGGATGCCTGACTGTCACAAGGCAGGGGACAGACCTGTACTTTGAGTTGCCAAACTCAAAGGGCCAGCTGTAGAACAAGCGTGAGCCCACACTTTTATAGGATAGGACGCTGAAGCTGGGAGCTGGACTTAGCCGAGACTGTGCACATAACATGACTGACCGGGACCTGTAGTATCTCCGGCTCCTCCCCACCCCCTGCGGCGCCATCTTTGGTCAGACTGGCGCAGGCCTCTCTGTCTTGCATCTTCTGGTCAGCTGAGGGACCTCATCACACGTAGTCTGTCACCCAAGGCAGAGCAACTCACCCCCTCTGCCATCCCTGCTCCCGCCTCCAGGGCCCTGCCGGCCCCGTCACGAGCCCCTCTTGTCCACAGGGAACGTGGCTGTGCTGTCTGCGGAGCAGAACCACAAAGTCGACACGTCCGTCCACTACAACATTCCTGAGCTGCAGCCCTCGAGCCGGCTCCCTCTGCCCCAGCACAACGGGCAGCAGGAGCCCCCAGCTGGGAGGAAGGGCCCCCTCCCGCAGGAGATGGACCAGGACTCAGAGGAGGGGGACGAGGAAGAGGTGGACGAGGAGGACGAGGACCCCCCCAGGCGCAAGTGGCAAGGGATTGAGGCCATTTTTGAAGCTTACCAAGAGCATATAGAAGGTACAGGGGGAGTGGGAGGCGGCTAAGGGCCTGGAAAGAGAAGTGAGGGTGCGTTTAGTGCGCACTCGGGCCACCAGCACAGCGCTGGGCACTGTTTCTGGGTGACAGCACCAGCCTGCCACCCTCGGGCCTCGGCTGGGTCGTTCCCTGCAGGGCCTGGGCTGACTTACAATGGCCATTCGCTGCAGGCAGACCTGAGGCCATTCTTAATGGAGAAGTTTAAGTACCCGGCGCCTGTCACCACTCGGCGTGACAGCCCAAACCTGGGCCCTGCTGGCCAGGCCTTCCTCCTCGTGCTCTTGCTACTCCCGTCGGTCTCAACCCTTGTCACCACATACAAGGGCTCTGGAAATGAAAGCTTGTCAGCTTAGCTGAGCCCCAGGTAGCCGGGCCTGGCCCCTCATGGGCTGCCTCGCACTTGGAGCACCTTGAGGCTGGTGGCAGTTTCCCTCACAGGCTGGCCTGCGCCAGCACTTTGTTCAGGTAGCCAAGCCCTCGTCTCTGCCAGAATATTTCATCCTCGCTCCGCCCCTGCCTCGTGGAGGAAGCCCTGGGGGGGTGCAGGTGCACCTCGCCCACCTGTCTAGTGCTTCCGGGTGAAAGGCGCCAGGTGCTGGTGGGGCTCTGGCACTGTTGCTGTGTGTGTAGCGCGTGGCCTCCTTTCTCTGCGCCCCCCATCTCCCCGAGATACGGCAGCAGTGCCTAGCGTGTGCGAGGCAGGAGTGCTAGGACACCGGTGCAGGGAGAAGTGGGGGCCCTCCCTCTGTGTTAGCGTAGGCAGGTGGGCTGCTGGGGGTGGGGGGCTCTTGAGCCAGAGCACTGGTGTGGCGGCCCCTCTCCCCTCACCGTCCGCCCTGCAGTGGGTGCTGGGCACCAGTTTGACACATGCTGGGAAGTGCCAGCCATGACTGGCAAAACCCAGGCCGCCACCGCCCAATTCATTTATTACTGTATGGTAAAGTCTAATTTTTATTATCACTATGTTGTTAACGTTATTACACATTTGATTATGAACCTTAATCATTTCAAGTAACACTTTGAAGTAAGCATTTTAAAACCACAGATGAGTGCAGACTAATAAACCATGGGCCACAGACCCACAACCAGCGTCTGCACCACCGCCGGCTCCCTCTCCTCCTGCGGGTGGAACCTGTATTTTGAGTTGACAGACTCCAAGGAGTCGGTCACTCGCAAGGCGCTCAGCCCGTCCGTGCACGTGCAGCAGTAGGACGCAGTTTTACTTCAATGGAGTGAACACACGCATCTTCTCTGGGTCCGCTTAATTTAACCTTTGGTTAAAACCAGGCCCCAGTACCTTTTGGAAAGGCAGAGATTTTATTTTACTTTAAAACTACATTTTCAATTTCTAAGTTTATATGCAGGCCTTTTCCTAGCAGCTTAAAAGCTTTCAAACCTTGTTTTTTAAGCTTTCTTTTTGAAGAATGCATTTTAAAGCCCTAAAGTTCACCTCAGTTACCCCCTAATCTGTATCCCTTCATTGGCCTTCCTATGCTAGGTCCTTTGTCTTTATTCCGCTGGGCTAGATTTAATTTAGTAACGCGTGGGTATTTCCCAGCGCAGTTTGAAGGGCTGGGGGCCTCATGGTCCCAAGGAGAGGACTTTGCTGGCCGCTGTAGAGAGAAAAGGGCACCGCCGCCAGGCTTGTGGCCCCTGTACGGAGAGACCAATGTCGTGTGTCTTTTCAGAGCAAAACCTGGAGCGGCAAGTGTTGCAGACGCAGTGCAGGCGGCTAGAGGCACAGCACTACAGCCTCAGCCTCACGGCGGAGCAGCTCTCCCACAGCATGGCGGTGAGTGGGCGTCACATGGGGACACGCAATGCAAACTGGCTCCTGGTGGGGGGGGAGTTCCTTAAGAAAAGCATGGTATCTTTTACCTTTCAAGTTTGGATTCAAGGGCACCCCTACCAGGCAAGTTTTGAGGGGAAATCCTGCTCTTAAGAGCTCAGCACTAATCTTAGGCAGGGAATTCAGCAGTCGGTTGATTACCCAAGATTAGGTATGGAGGGAGGCGTTGATTTGCAGAATATATTGATCCTGGAAGGGTGGAGATGCTATTTATACATCCCTTTGGGGGAATTATTTCTTGCCTGTATCAGCCTCCCCCTACGATTTGCTGAGGAGGATGGAAGCAGATTTACTGGAGGAGGAGAGCTCTTTAGGCCAACCGACCACCTCTTCCCCCCTGTGGGCCTCGGCTTGGAACAGGTCTGCACGTCCTGGCCGCTCCTGAAGCAGCAAGGATTTTATAGTATCTGGGCTGATGGTTCAAATCTCAGGTTGAGGCTGAGACAGCCGTGGCCACTAGCTCTATGAGAGCGAACAGACGCCATGAGAATCCGAGACCCTGGGGACAGTTTGAGCTGGCTCCCCCCGAGGCCGCTGTCCCCCCGGACCGGGAAGGGGGTGTCCTCAGAGCGCAGGTGTGCCGTCCCACACGGCCCCGGCCCGGGCTCGCTTCGCGCAGGCCTCGGACAGTGGGAGGTGACTTTGTCTTACCCGAGTCTCTCTCCTTCCAGGAGTTGAGGAGCCAGAAACAGAAGATCGTTTCAGAAAGGGAACGACTCCAGGCAGAGCTGGATCACCTACGGAAGTGCCTTGCCCTGCCCGCAGTGCACTGGTCTAGGGGTTACTACAAGGGATATCCCAGGTGACGGTGTCCCTTGCGCTAGGCCGAACCTATAGTATAGAAATTATCTATTTTATTACCTTGAATATTTAATATTTTTCACTGGGAGGTTTGAAGCTTAAAATAATGAGAATGTGCCATGCATGAAGCGAAGGATTCCAGGCTCCAGGAAAAAGGATGGACTCGCCTTGACTTCAATGCGATCGAATCACCTTTGTAATTCAGCGAGCGACCAATGTAGGACGCCCATAGTTTTTTCTTTTTACAGGCGGTTTTATTCTTTCTTCCCCCACGTCATTGTTTTTAAATCTGAAAATGAAGGCTCCGTTACCAACACTAAAACTTGATCATTTATAGCCCCGGGTGTGTAAGATGGGATGAAACCGACTGTTCTTCTGTCGCCCTGTTTCTGTGCCTCGAGAACCCGTTTTGCTTTTGCTGCAGCAGGGGGTCGGCCTCATTCCTCCCCAGGACAGAGGCCTGCCTCAGCTGATCGAAGGTGGTGTGCATTTTAAGTAAAGGGCTTATTTGTTTTTACTTTTCTGCAAAATTTTCTTCAAAGCAACAGGTCCTAGGAACACACAAAGAACAGTACTGAAGCCTCACCCAAAGGCTTTTCCCTGGAAAAGCTCTTACCTAGAGATAAAGCAAATCACCTGAAGGTACCTTTTTATTACTCCGTGGGGGAAAAAAATGTACAGAGCTCTATGTATACATATATTCCCACCCACCGAATTGTTACTGCAGGGGGTGGTGTTTTCATACAACGTACATTTTGAGAGAAAAGTCAAAGGTGCTTCAGCCTTGTACTGTGTATATAAAAAAAAAGTTTTGTATGTTTTTATTACTTTAATTATTGTTATAAAAAGCCTGCCATTTTTAATATGTGGTTTGGGGGGATTTTTGTTTGTTTTCCTGTTTGGGGGTTTTTTGTTTGTTTTTTTTTTTCGTTTTGTTTTTCTGGGCAAAAAAAAAAAAACCTTGCTTTTAGTGTTTGTACTGCTGCTGGTCAGGACATTAAAATATTGAAGTGTTTTTAAAAATTAAAGAAGAAAAGTAAAAGAGCTTACCACTGGCGCCTACGCGATCACTTCATTTTTGAGTTGCACCAGAGGGATGGTAGAAAGCCATGCGTTACCCTCCCCCCAACCCCAGCTCTGGACGGCAGAGAGCAGAGGCGAGCAGCTGCTATCACGTGAGGAGGGGCAGGCTAGCCGACCATGGGAGCGGGACGGGTCCTGTGTGCTCACGTGGACAGGGCGCTTTGTTAAGAACGGAACCTTTCAGGAAGCGAGCGGTTTCCATGATAGAATTCCAAGGTGTCTTACAGCAGTCTGAGAGCAGGTGCAGAGTAGAAAACTTTAGAGGCTTCGGTTAGATGCAAAGCTTTGTAAAAGCCTCAAAGTAGGGTGAACAGTGTCTGAGCAGAACTCCTCCTCCTGAACTTAGGTGACCAGCACAGGAGCAGCCAGAAACTGGGAGAATTAGATCAGTGCAAAGCCGAGGGGGTTTTCCTTGTCCCGGTTACTGCTCATTGAGGCAGTGCTTAATCTCGATCAGAAGGTAGCTCTTGCCCAAGTGGGCCTGACCCAGAGGCCAAAGCAGCCCATGGCTGGTCTTTGGCAGGGGAGGCCCAGGCAGCATGCCAGCCACTCCTCCCACCCCACCTTGCCCAGGCCAGGGGAACGGCCGGCCGACCTTCAGGCGGCTCCTTGCTGCAGTCAGCGGCCGCGCCCTTGGCCCCAGACCGTGGCTGTGCAGAACAGCTTGCTGGCAGATGGCACGCTGTCACGTTATCTGTTCCCACACAGTCTGCTCTGTATGTCTGCCAAGAATCTTCCAGTTATTAGCAAACTCAGACAAAAAGTGCCACCAGTATTAACAGCAGCCGACAGGCGCCTTCCTCTCCACAAAAACGACTTGCAGAGAACTAAGGGCTGTTCTGTGGGCCGTCTCCCCTGCAAAGACATTTGAGAGAACATGTCCCACAGGTGGGGACAGGTGTTTAGAGGGGGCTGACTGCCAACAGTCAGGGCAAAACGTCAATGAATTTCTCTACTTAAAATCTGCTTGCTATTTCTGGTCTGAAAGACATTAAGAGTTACATCTTGTCTTCCTCCAAAGCAGAAGATGCCTGGTGCCTTTGCTAATCAGCTTTGGTAATGGCCTTGGCTGAAGCCAAAGGAAAAAGCAGATCTAATAACTTGATGGGAAAGAAGAGCCCAGCCCCCACCCTTTACCACGTGAAGGGTGCTCCCTCAGGTGACTTGTCCAGTGAGGAGTTCCTGGCCTGTGGGGTGAGGGGTGCACCCCACAGGGTTACAGGGGAGGTCTCTGCCCAGCAGTACAAGCTATGTCTTTCCCTCTGCGGTTGAAATGCCACCTCTGTCCTACCTTGCACTTCTGTCATTCTGCCTTGTCCTCCTCCCACCTGTCTGCAGACATCTCTGAAGTAATGTGACAATCAGAATATAAATATAAACCAGTAAGGCAGCAGAAATAAGGTAAGAAAGCATCTTTCGAAAACAAAGTGCACCACTTAAGACACAGTACCCAGTAATAGTTTTTCCATCCAACAGTTGGTTTTATAATCTGAAAATACCTTCATTAGATTCTGGAAGAACACAGTAGCATCTAACTCTTCAGTCGGGCTTAACAAAAATTAACATACGCAATTTGTTCAGCTATTTCACATTGCGTTTAAAACACAAAGTTCGGAAATATACCAAATTTTCTCTAGAATTGATGCAATCTTCCTGTCAGTATTTTCATGAAGACCTCAGTCCTTCACAGCCTTGTGTCTAACTAGCATACATGGCACAGGGAAGAGGCGGCTGCCATCTGTCCTCTGGGGTGGGAGGAGGTTCATTAAACTTAGGAGGGAGACCTTCCAGTGCCGAATCACGTGGTTCCTTCCACATGTACTCAGATCATGACAAACCAGAGCTTTCCCTAAAACTCGACGCTACACAACCTGATCATTTGAAAATGGGTTGTTTCTCTTGATTGGACATAACAGAGCAGAACTGACATGTATCCTGGTCTTAATCTGTTCTCTCAGATAAGCAACCAAGATAGGATTTTCAACAGTTAATAGAGTCTAAAGAAAGGAACTAAAATAATTGGCAGTAACATTCTAATAGATGCCCTTAAGGAAACTCAAAAGAATGTTAAAAGGAGCCCATACCTTCACCAGCGGGGAATGTGAACACAGGAAATCTTGAGTGTGCACCTGGAAAGTTTTTTCCTGGAGTAGCTCACAATGCTGCCAAATCTCAGAAGTTCAGATACCCCCCGCCCTCCCAAGAGCCACGTTTTAAAGTGTAGACAGTTCTGAGGATCCACCACGAGATGGAGACGGTCAGCACCAGCCCGGGCCTGTTACTCTTAGATGTGTTAACCCCTTAGCCGCAATCCTTGTTCTCTGTGCAGTGACAGGCTGACTTAAGTACTTGCAGTAGCCTGTCCCCAACTGTTTGATCCAGCGCTTAAACTCTAAAGATAACTCTGCTTTGACCTGAGGAAGACCACGCTGATTAGTCGTGTTACTTTGTACCCTGTGTTAACTGCTTGAACAGTAAACCCGTCCACGGGGAGGAACGTGCCTCGGTCACTCTGGGGGCAGTTTAGATGCTGTGAAATTAAACCTGTTCTAAGTGTACTTGTTTGAATTAATTGTATTGTAATATTATTTGTTGAATGTAGTAATTAGGTATTTATGAATATATTGCTGTAATTTCTGACAACATCCAAAAAAATAAAAATCTTCCTAAATCACGTGAAGAGAAAAATCTTTATGTTGTGATATAGCCAAAAAAAAAAAAAAATACACAGCTCTACAGATAAAATGTGAAGAGAGTCAGCTGTATCTCAGCCAGGCTTTAAAAAGGTATTAAGGGGCAAGATCTAAGATAGCGGGACTCCTGACCCTCCACAGTTAACATGTGGTCTCACTCTGGAAGCTTCCCCAGATTAAACCTGAGGATTCTGAGAGGTGGAAAGGTTAAGTCCTGCCACTGAAAGCAGCCCCCGTAAGCAGTCACCGTACGTGAAGGACACCAGGGCTGCATCTTAACCGTCCGTGGCTGGCCCTTCCGTGTTAACCACCTCCAGATGCCTGTGGAAGGGACTCTGGGTAGCGATTTGGAATGGGAACAGTGCTCAAGTAATATTAGGTTTGGACTTTAAACACTGAAGGGCAAACATCAGAAGATAGTCCAGACATGGGTGACCTTGCAAGACCACAATACTGCTTGTGACCCATGGTGCCACGGCCAAAAAGCAGCTGGTTACAGAACCTCTTCACTGCGTGACTCTATAGACATTTTCCCTCTCAAGGTCATGTACTTTCTGAGAAACTTAGCACCGAAATGCTACAATGGAAAATGCATCCTAGGAAGGGGAAAGGGGTTCCCCCTCTCAATTACTGCTCTCTTGAGCCTCCCCCCTCAGTCCACTGAGAGCCCGGCGATAGGTTCGACCGTCCCTCCCAGCATCACGTGCTCACCTTCACTTGTGCTCCAGAACATGGGATTAGCCTTTCCTGGCTTTCCGCTTGGTCAGTAACCCTTTAAGCCTTAACCAGAAGCAGCCAAGACAACACAGTGCCCAGAGTGTTGGTCTGAAGTCGCTACACGCCTCAGTTTGCTGTCAGATCGCTTTAGCCACATGGCTGCTCCCTTTACTTGGTAGGTCTGCAGGTAAGGAGCCCAGTGGAAATCTGGGTTCCTTCCTCTTTATTGTGTTTCAGGGCTTGGACTGTCAACACCAGTGAGCGTCACTTGCCATCCCATGTAAGCGACCCCCTCCATAGATTCTAAGCCTGAGATGAGGGTCAGGGCTGTAGGCTGCATTGCCACTCACAGGGTGTCTTCAAAAGCACCACCCCACGTCACTGAAGCTGCCCAGTGTGGCAGTTCTGTGCAGAGCCCTGAGACTCTGCTGGGGAAAACACCTTGCTCCGCCACGGCGCTTCCTCCCCAAGAAAGGCTGGCTCCCAGGGTCAGACATGGAATTACACAAAGTTCTCAGGACTAAGCACAAACCTGCTGCTTTCTAGCTATGTCATGAGTCCATCCCTTCACTACATGTTTTTTCACACATTGAACAACAGTTCCAGAAACCCAGAAATAACGAGTACCTCTACCACGTCCTCAGCACTCCCCCAACCCAGCAGGCCTCCCGCCGGCAGACTCGAGGCCTTCTTGACAAGCCCACGGCCTCCCTCTACATGTCCTGAGATGGGACGCTTTCGGGAGGCTGCAGGTTTGTGCGGAGCTTGTACATCTGGTTGAGCGCCTGGGTGAGGAAGGCCCCGCTGGTGTTGATCTCCATCAAGGTCAGGTTGCCCAGCTAGAACAAGAAGACGCTGGGTTGGTTCAGGAGTTTCCGATTTTGAGACAAAAGTAAAAGCCACTGAATACGAATAAACCAATTAATAATTTGTAGAAAGCTCGGCACAGCTAGTAAGTAATCCCTGCCTACAACAGCCCGAGCCGGCAGAAGGCTGCAGGAGATTCCTCAGCAACCCCACGGCCGCCAGGAGGGCCCGCTGCACACCCACCTCGGCGTGCGCCTCCCTCTGCCTCACGAAGCTGTCTGCGGACACCCGGAGCTTGGCCGTGCGGGTGTCCCACACGTCCTTGATCAGGGTCCGGATCTCATCTGCTTTTGGAATGTTGTCTGAAGCGCTGAAGGGAGCAAGAGGTGACAGATGTAAAGCAACCGCCAGGGAGGAGGGGCTTTCTGAGCAGGCACTTAATGGAAAAATACATGAGCTGTTCTAGACCAGAACTTTGTTTTGCTTTGTTCTCAACTTTAAAATGTTAAGGATTTCTAGCAGTTCAGCGTGATGCCAAGAAAATTCAGCTACGATCCCCACAGTCATCTGTGCTCATGTCAGCTGTCCCGTGGCAGGCTACAGTACAAGGACTTCTGTTCACTGAGTAAAATTAGCCATCAGGGAATAAGCTAAGTGGGGCATCCTCTGTCTCAGGATAATGTTGTTCTGGGCTGTGGAATTTCAGTCTAGAATGAATTTGCTTCAAGGTCTGGCTCAGAGGTCAAAGCTTTTATTGTCATCCAGGGGTTTACAATCCACCACCAGGGAAGGAAGACAACAGCCCCGTGCCAGCCCTGTGCTCAGCAAACCATCCTCACAAAGGCCCTGAAGGACAAGTACTGTCCCACTCCCTCTACAGAGGAAACGAGCACATTTACAAAAATCCCTGGAGAAACGGCCAATTAGTCTTTGAGCACACCTACACAGCGAGTTCAGAAAAGGTTTGAGCTGAAGTCCACGTGGGTCAACGACAGCCTTCCTGTGTGGGATGTATTGTGAATTAACCTTTGAAAGAAAAGACAGACTGAAAGATAAAAGCAGAAGCCAACACTGTCCACTGGCAGGCATTCTAGGAAAAGCTGGAAATGGTCTCTCCACGTGCTAAAATTAGCTTGTGATTTAGTAGATGGAGAATCAGTGTATAAAATTTATGTAGTGGATTTTATTTAACACCTGAACATTTGGAGTTTACGCTTTGAACAGTAGGTTAAAGAACAAAGGGCCCCCAGCTTCTTGTTAACTGAACAGAACAAAGGTAAAATTAGGTCCCGAGCCAAATGAATTACAAAGAATTATAAAAGGGCTTTAATAGCTACTGCATACATAATATATCGAACTTCAGAAATGAAAGGTGGACAGGCCCCTTAACTCTGCTTCCAAGATCTCCCTTTCACTTCATTCCCCCCACTGCCAGAGGCATCTCGGACCCACTGGATGACACCCCTGCCAAATGCCCTCCCAGGGGACTCTGCCACCCCAGAAAAAAGCCTCAGCCCTCCAACCCCCTCAATCTGCCCAGCCCATGTCCAGCAGCTCTGCTCCCCCCGCACAAGGGGCCCTTCCATGCTCCCCACTTCTACCACGTGCCCTCTCCAGTAGTAAACTCGCCCCACCCTTCAAGCCAGGGGTCCCTTCTGGTACCACTGGGCATTAGGGCTGCTTCCCAATAGACTCCACCAGCACTTACCACACTGCAGTGGGAATGCTGGCTACAAGGTCACATCTCTTTCCCAGTAAATGGGGCACTCAAGTTCATCTGACCACATCCACTGTCCAGTAGAATGCTTAGCATGCTGTGTGCTCGGTATGTGGTGAGCCGCAGCCTCCTATCAGCTTGAGGACAAGTCCATGCTCTGCGCCCCAAATTCTCATTTGAACTCAGCAGTACCATTCAGTGGGCCCCTGGCCACCCCACAGCACACAGTACAGGAGGCTCCTCAGTTTTCTTCTAGTTCTACTCTTGATTCCACCAATTAAAAAGTGCACAGGGCTTCAAAAAAGCTTGACATTTTACAAATTACATTCTAAGTAAGTCCCAAGCAGAACTGTCCACACCTGCCTGCCCCTCCTCTGCCCATGCCATCCATTCATTCAACAAGGGCTGAGGACCTGGTGCAGTGCCAGTGCACGTAAGATGCAGGCCCTGCCCACTCAGATGAGGGCAGGGCGAACACACAGAGGATGAGCAGACTGCACCCCTGGCCGCTGTGGGGGCGCATGGTGCTGCCAAGAGCCAGGCACACCTGCACGGGAGGGGGCCGCAGGTATACTAAACCCTGAGGGGGAGGAGAGTGGACAGACGTACTGGGCAGAGGGAACAGTGTATGCAAAGCTATGTGTGCAAAGAAGTGCAAGAGGCCAGTGCAAGCCTGCAACCTAGAGAATCGGGGAAGAGCCGAGTGAGTTGGAAGGAAGAGGGAAACCAGGCCGGGCGGCACTTACGGTACCGTGATCGGGACTGAGAGCAGCCCCTGGAAAGGCGCCAAGCTGGGCGGGGCTGGAGGGGTGCCCAGCAGCTTTATCTTTATAAGACCACTCTGGCCAAAAGGTGAATAATGAATGAAAGCAGGAGGGGAACCAGAACCGGCTGCAGGGAAACTGCTTACTTGAGCACATAAAGGAAAGCCCCTGAGCCCGCCAGGGGGTTTTTCCTGGAGCCCAGGTCAGAGGCCTGAACTCCAATGCAGACCCAGAGAGGAAGGAGTAAAGCTTTACTAATAGCTTTACAGTTAGACGAAAGGCTACTGCTAGAGATGGCAGTGGAGGCTCACGGCGGGGCCCCGTTGTCAGGTGAGAATGGGGGGGCCAAGGGACCTACCAGGAGAGGGAGGGACGGCCCAGGGAGAAGCAAGGGCGGGCTGGAGCGCGTGGGCTCCCAGGTGATACTGCTCGGAGGGCCCTGGCGGCAGGGAGACCAGTTACTGTGGGACATGAACACAAGGGAAGGGGTACAGGGAGCCTCGTGAGTGAAACCTGCCGTGCGGGCTCGGAGGGCTACTTACTGATTTAACAGGAGTTTGGTGAGCTCCATGTAGTAAGGGCTGGGCATGGGGGTAAAAGTTTCTTCCTTTCGTTCATGATCCCTAATCTTCTCCAACTTTTCTGAAATTTAAAAGTGAATACACTTTACCATCAGCATAACCAAAATATTTTTTTTTAATCACCCATATTTACCAAGTGGCTGTGTTACCTATTCGATCCACTAACAAATAGCTGGGGGCAAAAACTCTTTCTGAAATCACATTTATATTACTAACTAGAAGATTCAGGGCCCATTTACTTGAAAATTTCTCTTCCAGAAGGTGGCAAGATTTTGTGGTGGCCGTCACTTTGGCCTGCAGAATAAACTACGGAAAATGCGTCAGAGTCAATCCTTTTCCCAGGGAAAGAACAAAGCAGTCCACCTTTGAGGCAGAAAGTGACAAGACTGACGGTGAGCGGAGGAATGTATTATTTATTCCAAGCCTCGCTAAGAAGACAGCAAGACAACCCAAAGGCAGCCACCAGGCCTGGGGCAGGACCATGACAGGGTTTAGGCCGATCCCACCCAGTGGCAGCCCTCCTTGCCATGTGCCGAAATGGCCTTACCCTCTCTCCCTGGCGTGGAAAAGCCCAGTCCTGAAGGTGGACTCCACTGTGCCCAAGGGGCACACGCACACAGGACTGCACTGTGGGGTCTCGCTCTCGGGGCCAGCCACCCATCTCCAGGCCCTGCTGCCATCCTGTCCTCCCTCCCGGGCCCATTCTCTCACTCACCCACCCTGCCTGTCCTCCTCACACCTCCTCGCCCCGCGCCCGCTCTCATCGGATGCCTTGCGGAGCGCCCGCAGCTGCCCAGCTGCCCGCTCCCTGCATCGGCCCCTAGGGTGTGTGCTGGGCCCTCCCCTCTCACCGGCACCGGGCGCGCCAGCAGGTCTCCCGCTCTCGGGCGGTCATCGTTCCCCTTACTACCTGACCACTCCACCACACTCGCCGCAACATCTCCCACCTTAAAATGGAAATCCTCCCGACAGCAGATCCTCCTCCAGCCACCAGTCCATTTCTCATGCCCTTTACAACATAACATTGGAGTTCCCTGACAGTGGTGGGCACCTCTTTCCTTGAGCCCCAGGGGCATCTATCCCACCCCGCACCTACACACAGCCGACCATGCCCAAACCCAGCCACTACGTGGGCCTTCACAGCCGACAAGTCAATCCTGCGTGACCTGTGCTTGTCATTAGCTTCTGGAACGCCACTCTGGGCTCTTCTCCTGTCTCACTGACTCCTCCAGGCTTCCTGACCCCTCCATGCCGGGGTACAGAGCTCAGTTCCCTGGCCCCTTCTCCACCACCTAACCCACATGCTGTGGGATGTTGCCCTGCCTCATTTAATTGCCACGTCCGCGCTCAGTGACAACTTCTAAACCTGCATCCCTACCTGAGCCCCCACCCTGAGTTCCTGATTCAAACACCCCACTGCCCACACTATTTCCACCTGGACATCCAGGAGGCACCGCCAAGCCAACACATTCAAACCCAAAGTCCACCTCCTGGAGCACAAGCCAACCACCCTGGCGGTCACCCTTAAGAGACGCCATTGCCTGTCCTTCAGCAAATCCTGCTCATTCGCTCTCGAAAATACACCTCGACTCCAGCTATACCTGCCCGCCTCCAAGAACCGATCAAGTCACTCTCAGCTGATGCCTGGGTCACTCCTACTGCCCTAACCGCACACAATCTCCTGCACCCCACAGACTGACTCTTCATCATCGTCTAAACCAGTGTGAAACGCCTCTGTTCAAACCCTGCAACGAATCAGAAAAACTGACAACACTCTACGTCAGCCAGGATGTGAACAGTGGGAACTCTAGATGCTCCGGTGAGATTGTAATAATGGCCCGGCTGCTCGAGGGCTGCTAGCAGTTCTTTACGAAGTTAAGCACAGTCTGCTCACCTGACAGAGCCCAGGCCTGTGGGACGGCTCATGCTAACTCTCCCCACAGTTCTTAACTCTGGCCTAGTGCTAACAGAGCCAGGCCTGGTGGGGTTCCCCTCAAAGCAGAAGGAAGTGGGGCTTCCCACTGTTTCAGGCAGGGTCACTCACCTCTGAGCACAGGGGGGAAGGAGAAAATGCTCAGCTTTTCTTAAACTGCATGTCAGAGTGCCTGGCTGAGTGGCGTTCTTGCTTCCTCAGGCAGGTGCCCCAGGTGATTCCCAATGGGGAGGGGACTCAGATTCTATATGCCACCCACCCCACATAAAACCAAGACACTCTGCTATACTGAGCCACTCACAGCCGAGTGTGTGTGGGGGGCGGAAGGTCACGAAGGCTCAGGATAAGGCCTGCCTGCCCAGTTCTAGTCCTGGTTCTCTGGCAGCCTTCCTGAACATCCCATTCAGCTCACCCACTTAAAGTGTACAATGGGCCAGAGCACCCTGAGAGGCCTCACCCACAAGAGCCTTCAGGGGACTCCTGCCATGGGTGTTCTAGACATGGGGCTGGGGGGACAGGGGAAACACAGGAATGAATAAAGCGTGCAATTCAATGGTTTTTAGCATATTCGCAGAGCTGTGCAACCACCACCTCAATCAATTTTAGAACATTTTTGTCACTCCAGAAGAAGCCCCATAATCCATCACCCCCAAACCACCATCCTTAGGCAAGCGATAATCTACTTTGCGTGGATTTCTGTTCTGGGCGGTTCCTAGAAATGGAGTGCTATAATACGTGGTCTTTCTGTCAGCCTTTTTTCATTTGACGTAATGTTTCAAGGCTCATCCACACTGTGACACGGTCAGCACTTCATTCCTTTACATGGCCGGCCGAACAGCACCCCCTGCCCCATGGGTGGTGCACTATTTTCATGCATTCTCTATAGAGAAGGTAATGACTCTGCGCCTCGACACGCTATACTTATATTTTTTTAAATAAAAACAAATGCTTCTTTAAAGTCATATCATATTTTAAAGCAAGTTGCAATACCTTAAAATCAAAATCTGAACTAAAACTGCTAACACGACCTCAGTGATGGTGGTTAGCCCGCTCTGAGGGGCGAATCTCGAACCATTCATTAGTTGCAGCTGATCAGCGGGCAGTGGAGCAGACGGAGGACCCCTGTGCGCCCACCCGGCGGCGGCACCACCCACCCCGCCCACGCCCTTACCCACATCCATCCACTCGGGAGGAATCAGCCGGCACTTCTGCCTTTGTTTCAGGTTGATCGCCAACCACAGAGGCACTACCACTGGTAAACCGGGGCTGAAGGGCCCCAGGTCGCCCTGCCAAGGGGAAAACAGACCCCGGTAAGATAAAAGAGACCGCAAGGCACGGCCCGACCCCACTGCTGCCAAGGAAGAGACCGGGCATTGCGTGAGCTGAAGCCCTGGCGGAATTAAAGGTCCAGCTGCGGGCACAGACCCACTGCGAGAGCCCCACCCCCGGCCCCTCGGGCACCCACCTGGCCCAGTGCCCCCGGGCCAGGACCCCCCGGTCCGCTGTCCCGCCCCACCCACGGCGGTCTTGCCGCGTCCCGTCCACGCAGGCCGGGCGGCGTCCGCACAAGCCCCGACACCCCGCCTCTCGGCCGGGGCCGCACCCCGATGAGGTAGATCTTGTCCAGACTGAAGTTCGGGATAATGGTGACTAGCTCCTTCTCGGCCAGAAACTCCACCTCCGCCGCGTCCATGGCGGCGCCCGCTGCCTGGACGGGATTCGCCGCCGCCCGTCTGCGTCCGCAGAAGAGCAGCAGCCGCTGCTTTCCCGCCAACTGCGCAGGGCCCGCCCCCAAGCGGAAGAAGTCTCGGCCGGCCTATAGCAGCGCGGCGCTCTCCGTGGGGCGTGGGAGGCGGGGCCCGCAGCTGCTACGAGCCCGTGGATTGGCGAGCTTCAACTAGGCTGAGCCCGGCCCCGCCCCCTGGGTCCCGGTCCCGCCCTTCCCGTGTTCCCGGTACTGCATCTCGTGTATCCCAGCCCCACCCATTCCTGCCGCTCCCAGCACCCCTGCCCCTGCAACCACGTCTCCGTGTCCCACCACCTCCCCGGGAGTCTGCCCGCCAACACCCTCTGTCAAACGGGTTGGGGTTCCGGGCACCTCTGCACTGGGGCCTGCACCGGGCCAGGAGTAAATGTATTTTATTGGGTCATTGGCATGATTTGGCTCGACTGATGGACCGGGCCCAGCACAGTGAGGAAAAACCTTGTTTCTTTTCATTTCACAATCTCCTGCCCTCGCTACACATTGGTTAAAATCCATAAAAATGCAGATTCCTCCACCCCGATTGAAGCTCGTGGAGGGAGGGCAGGTTTGCAGGGCTGCAGCAAATATGTGACGTGCTCATGTGCTCATAAATCTGTATGCCCTCTACACAGGGGGCTTGTGGGAAACCTAACCACAACGGTTCTCAAACGCCCTGGGTCATGGTCCCCTAGCAGATTCTGTGTTAACACACACACTTCTGGAGAATTATGATGCAGTGGTCTGGGGTGGGGACAGAAACCTGAATTCTAACGATGGTCACGATGATTCTGGTGGGGTGTTAATAGGCCAGGAATGCTTCTTGGGAGGTGACGCAGCCACAGCAGGGCTGTGGGGACACGCAATGGGCTGAATTTGAATCCCTGATCATGCAGTCCTGAGAAAAAGCATGCCCCGGTGCAGAGGTGCCCGGAACCCCCATAGGGCATGGAGGGTTCCAGGGTTCTGTATCCTGGCAGGAAATCTGCCCCACCCAATATAAACCCACGCTTTCCCTTCTAACCCTCTGAAATCAGTCCCATCTAAGTTCACTGGGAAGATGAAATAAGGCATGGCCTGGAAAGCAACGTCTGCTGTTTACCTGCATTGGAAATTCTCATTTACAGACCTGGAGATTAACGTTATTGTGTGTCATTTATTAAGACAAGTACTTTCAAAACAGTAAATAAAAGGACCTCTCTGGATGCTGTGTGACTGAGGGCAAGGGACCACTCTGAATGTCAATCTCCTCATCTGCAAATAGGGTGGGAAGAGAAGGAGCCTGGGGTGTTTGGAGAGGAGGGGAGGCTTTGGGCCACCTGGCCCCTCCTAAAATAGAAGTTCCCTCAGGCATCTGCAGAGCATGTGTACCAGCTTGTCTGGGTTTTGATTGATATGGGAATGTTTTCTTGACTGGCAAATATTTGTGTTCCAAAGCTGGCGAGGCTTCCCTCCCTGATTTTCACAGCCTGTAAAAGAGCAAAAGAAATGAGCGGGTGGCAAAGCCGAGGTTCAGAGAGGCTGCGGCAGGATGAGTAGGAGAGCTAGCAGAGCCCTTGTGCTGATCTGGAAGGGGGGCAGTCTGCTGCGTACATCTCCAAGCTTCAGGGAGACACAGGAGGAGACGGCTCATGGCTTCAACACTGCAGGTGGTGGCACTCTGGAGTCCCAGATGTGATGTCCATCAGGGTCCCTTGGGGGGCTTGTCTTTCTCTTCACAGCAGCACGATTCACAACAGCCCAAAGGTGGAAATGACCCAAACGTCCATCCACTAAAGGACTGATAAACAAAGCGTGGCCTGGGCATTCTATGGAATATTATTCAGCCATGAAATGGAATGAAGCACTGATTCATGCTACAACGTGGATGAAAGCATCATGCTACGTGAAAGAGGCCAGGCACAAAGGCCAGATGTTGTATGATTCCATGTGTATGAACTGTCTAGAATAGGTAAATCCATAGAGACAGACACTAGATCAGTGGGGGGTGGGGAGTGGCTGCTAATGGGCACTAATGGGCACAGGCCGTCTTTATGGGGTGATAGACATGTTCTGGGATTAGAGGGTGGTGGTGATTGCATGACTCTCTATATAAATTTACTATAGAACACTTAACTGTATCCTTTAAAAGGGTGAATTTCATAATATGTGAATTATTCCTCAACAAAGCTGTTATCTGAAACACCCTTCCCTCGACTCCAGACTTAAGACTCTCTGACTCAGTGACCACACGCTTAAGGAGCTCCGCAGGAGGTTTTTATAATTGGGAAAACTGGGTAGTGAAGTAATTTGCCTCAGTCCCATCCAGCTCCAAGCCATTCCCAGGATCCAGCGAGAGACTTCTGAATGCCCAGCCCCACTCCTGGCCTCAGAGAGCAGGGGACATGACAGTAAGCAGACAAGAGCAGAGGGGAGGGTGTTGCTTTAGAGGGGATGGTCAGGCTCCCGCACCATTACTTCCTGCTGTACGTATATGCCCCCCCGGAAGGCTAGAATGACCCACGTGGTCATGAGTCAAGAACTGGAGATAACATAAATGAGGAGGAAGGGACAAGTGTCCCATGCAGAGGAATTCCAAATGATACAGTACACAGGTACTTCAGCCACCCTCAAGAAGATGGCCTATACTCTCTGCCCAGCACCACTTCCTTCCAAAGAGGATAAAGCAGAAACAGAAAAAGTCACTTGGTGGAGAAACCTAAGCAACACGACCTCGGCCAGGTGATCAAGGTCAACACCAGCAGTGATAAGTCACAATGATGGCATGTACCCTTTAGGTGATGGACAAGAAGGTCGCTATTGCCCTGGGATCTTCCTCCCAAGACCCACAACCCCAGTCCAGTCCTGGGAAAAACCTCAGGCAAATCCCAGTGGAGGGACCTGCTGCTAAACACCGGGCCAGCCCGCTTCAGCACTGTCCTGGCCACCAAACCAGAGTCTAAAGAATGCACAGCCTGGGGAAGCTAAGGAGATGTAAGGGCTGAGCGTCATCTGGATTCCTGGAACAGAAAAAGGACATAAGGGAGAAACTGAAGAATGTGAATAAAGTACAGACTTTAGTTAATAATAATCAAAACTGGTTCATTAATTGTGACAGATGGAGCAGAGGAACTCAAGATTAGCAACAGGGGAAACTGGGTGGCAGTGTATGGGAATTCTGTACTGTCTCTGCCACTTTTCTTTAAATCTAAATCTATTCTAAAACAAAAAAAGCCTCTCCCGGTTCTACCAGGCACCCCAAACACTCCTGAAACTGTGAACCTATTGCCCCCTACAGGGCAGTTAGCACTAAATGCCTTTTGGTGACATTAAGCGGGCCGAACTGAGCTCCAAAAATGAGTCAGCAACGTCTGGTTTTGAAGCTGCAGATCTTTCTGTCACGATGGGGATGTCCTGTGGCTGTGAGGCCAGTCGAAGCCAGCACAGCGGCCACTAGGTCCACTCGGGAATGGAGCATTTGCAACATGAGTGACTAGCTAGGGCCTGCAGTCCACTGAACACAGGGATGCTCCTGTGTCTGACATTGGCAGCCTGGCAGTTCTGTGGTTGAGCACGTTTGGGAAGGACCTGTGCAGGCCACTTGCACAGAGCACGTTCATTCGGTCCTTGATTCATCTATCCCAAGGTCAGGATCTCTGCCATGTGGGAGCAGTTTCCTCATAGTGAGACCAGTGGCCTGGGAACTCAGTGAGGAGGTGGGTGAGGCTCTCCACAGGCTCTCAGCCCTGCCTCTGCATGAGGACCACCTGCCAGCCTCTGCCCACCTTCAGGGCCACACGCGGACCAAAGGAATCCAAACTCTGGGGCCAGGCCTGGCCTGAGCCAAGGCTGAGCCGCTACTCTGACCCACTGAGTCCATCCCTTCTCCCGTGATCGCTGGGGGAACTTAGAGGAGGCAGCGACGTGCAGTGGTGCTATCATCCATCTAGGAGGGGCTAGAGTTACAGTCATGGCAGCGAAAGGGAAATGCAGAATGGAAAGCACGCCTTTGGGGTAACTTCCCTCCCCGTCTCAGCTTAAAGCAGCCAGGGGTGTGGCACAGGGCAGGCTCCTGGTACTAGGACCCAGTTCCTTCCTAGCTGCCCCCGGGCGCTGATCTGCGCTCCGGGAGCCAGAGAGCCACCACTTCTCCCGTGGCTTGGGCTGCCGCCTGAGCTCTAAAGTCCCTGTGGATAAAATGAGAGTTCCCGTGGCCAGGATCCTCACCTGGCCCTGGTTGACTAGCTCACTGCACACCTGTGGGCAATATATGGCTGTTGACTTGATATAAAGAGCTCTGCCCAGTGCTCTGGGCACGACACGGTGGCAGGGCTGCAAGGCTGCAGGAGAGCAGAGCAGAGGCTGGAGTGGTGGCAGCGCCGAGGACAGACGCCCAGAAGACGGCTGAGTGGACAGAGGGGCCCAGAGGCAGAGACTGGCTTGCTGCATACAGACTCACTCTGAGTGACGGGATTCTAGTGACTGACCTGCCACCTGGAAATACAGTTGGGTATAACTCTTTCATCCCAGGAATGTTTTACTGTCATTTTCTTTGGTCACATTGAATCCATAGCGAACTTGCCCGGGGCTGAAACCCATTGGCAAGATAGTCCCTAAGGTGGGGGTGATGACATGACCGCCTGCAGGGCCAGCGGCTGTTTCTGGCCAGCAGCTCAGACTGGCTCCAGCCCATCTACTCCATCCCAAGCACCCAACTCCCACTGCTGTCCCCCCACCCCCACCCCCGGCCCCTAAGGCCATCGTGAGGTTTGCAAGGATTGATGTGACCTCACCCAGTCCGTGGTGGCTCTCACTCTAAGCAGCAAGGAGGTTCTTTCTCATGACAGCCCACAAGGCATTTATCGTTCTCCCCGCTGAGTCGTGATAAGTGACGCAAGAAAGACGAGCAGCCCACAGCTCCCCCAGGCCTGCTTTGCACTGTACTTACAAGAGCTTGAACGTGATCCTGAGCACAGCAGGCCACTGGAGGGAGAGAGGTCAGGGAGTGACCCGGAGATTCGCATTTTAGACCACTCTGACAGTGGGCATGGGACGCGAGTGGGCAG